AGATACATGGGGAGCAAAGAACTGAAGGAAAAACTGAGGAAAAAAACAAAACAAGGGACAGGTTAATTACAGCCTTGTAGCTAAATGCCAAGTATTCTACACAAATAACATAATACAGAAGTGCGAGAAGGTACCACATTAGCAGGCAATTATGATGATATTGGAAACACAGAAATGTGGCTCACTGCAAACACTGGAGAAGAATAGAACATTAGTTCTAAAGCAAACAGGTGAGAAAAGCATTAAGAAACTGTGATCATGATATCCTATGCTTTCCTGCATATTTTGAAAATGAACAGGTTCAGTGCGAAAGCAAAAGTTTACCATTTCTGGAAAGCAGATTTTGAGGGAAAGACAGCATTTAACAGAATTAAAATGGGATATAAATTTGAAACAGCAGCAGTTTCAATTGGTCAATCAATTCTGAAAAATATAAGGCAAAAGAAAGCACTCTCTAAAACAATTAAAAACAACAGGATCAAGTTAAACATGAAGTACACTGAATTACTAGCACAGGTTAAAAGGAATATTGAAAAGAGTAGAGAGAAACTGAAAGAAATATTGCAATAGAGGCTAAAATAAATAAGTTCTCTAAGGATGAAGTATAATTTATCTTGGACAACAATGGCAAATTTCGAGACAATGAAAGTGAAATGACTGATGTACTGAAATGATTAGTACTAAATGATGTACTAAAATGACTTCAGGAAGAAGTCACCAGCATGCTCCAGTGAAGGAAGGACAGCAGTCCTGTAGTATACAGTATTAGCATAGAAGGGGCAAGTGTACTAGGTAAATATTGTTACATTAATTGTGAAATGACAGGGACTGGATACATTGGTTAGGACTTCATACAGACAAGTAAAGGTATCAAAAACAAACTATAAAATGGGAAACCAATATAGAAGAGTCTACTTATGAAATGACTTAGGTGTTTATGTTCACACAGTTTCTACACATTTTGAGAAAGCAAATAAAAACACAATATATTGTATACCAATTTGCTCACCACGTTCCAGAAAAGACATTACCTCTTTGGAAACAGTCAACACAACAGTAACTGACTTAAGGGCTTAAGGAAGTGTTTTATAATAATAGCCTGAAGGATTTTTTCTAGTGTAAAATAGAGAAGTCTATGACTTAAGTTAATTGAAGTACTCAAAACCCTCAAATATATTGTCAAGATGAGCCCAACAGACTTCTTTAGAGAAGTGGAACAAATGGAAATTTTGGATATTTATCTAAAACTGAGAACAGCTGGCACCTTTTTATCCTATATGTTGTGAAAATATGGAACAGACTGCCCACCAACAGTATTTGACTGAAACCAGCACCCTGACTTTGTTTAAAAATGGCTGGCAGTGATTCCTGGATCAATCAGCTACTAACTACGAAACAAGCCAGATGAACTGAATGGCCTGTCTTTTGTAACTGGACTTATTTCATTTGCTGCTGTGATTCAATGGCTATTACTGCTTGACTAGGACGTGTTAATGGAAAATTCAAACAATTTTGTGCGATTTACATTTGGATGGCACCTTTCTACAGGACCCTCACAAATGATATCACACAGGTGACCAGGGGAAAAAAAATAAAGCACTTTTTGTTCTCCAATGTATAATGTTCAAAATAATCTTTCAATATAAGATATAGTAAATCATTTTAAAAAATCAATACTTTACAAAGAAACTAGTTAATGCATTAGTTGGGGTCTTTAATGTAGCAGGTTTTTCACAGTTGCTTGGAAATGTACAATTTGTTAGATGGTAAAACACTTAAGATGGTTAAAATGGGATAATCAGCTGATCTCAATCTGACTACTCATATACAGTAACAGTATTTTGAACATTTGTGACTATTTTGCAAGCAGCAAAGTAATATTAAAAAGGTACACAACATATTGTAGTATTTTAGTCTGGAATTCTGTGTATCATAGTTTAAGGTTAAGGACATACATGATGCCTAACCTCTCCATTAGAAACTAAAATACTGGAAGTGTTAAAATAGTTCCTCTTACAGTTGAAAAGGAATAAAAATGACTGCTTCATTTAAAAATACTTTTTACCACATTCACTGAATTATTACTTAATGAAATGAAAGATTAACCCAGGTTTCTGATCTAAAGGCTTCAGGAAAAATTGCCTTCACTATACTTACATGCAGCAAATTAACCATGTGTAGGTAGTATGTATACTGTATGTGTATACAGTGTCTTACAAAAGACTTCTCCACTCTGAAAAGTTTCCAAATACTGTTGTTGTCTGAGCTCACAATCATGACACTTTCAAACAGGACTTTATATTTGTGATCTACTCTTCTTCAAACTAATAAAGCTAAATATGCTGATAGTACGTCAATTCCGCTTGCAAAGTAAATGAGAAGACCCACAATTGAATAACTATTGAAGCCCTGTGCTATAGCAACTCCAATCTGATCAGGTGTTAAAGACCGGTCTGTGCGTAATCAAAGTAGATTAACCTGACTTCAGAAGGCATGTGTCTATCTCTGTTGGTTCTCTCTGACAGAATTTGAGTTTTAATTCACATGAAGACCATGGAGTTTTTGAAACAATGGTAGAGAGGCAACAGAGAGGTACTGTAGAGAGGTAGGTCACTGCATACAGTGACTTGTGTTATTAAGTGGAATGTGCATTGGAACACCCAGACTCTACCTCGATCAAACCATATTTCCAAACTAAGCAGATAGACAAGCAGGAAACAGGTTAGAAATGCCACTGTGAAGCCAATAGTGAAAGATTTATAAAGCGTTATGCCTGAACTGGGAGTCACTGTTCATACACTGTGGCACGCAAAGTGTCAGGAATGAAAGACTAATCTTAAAGCTTATATGGGATACACTGCCTAGGTATCAGACATGTGCATGAAACATTTATGATTGGCTGAGACCAGAATTGAACTTTCTCGTCTAAATGCCAAGTGCAACATCTCGCACAAACCCAGCACAGCACAGCGTCACCACAATGCCAGCTGTCAAGTGTGATGGTGGCAGCATTGTGTTTGGTGTTAATCCCCATCACCACAGACTAGTAAACATATCAGGATGAACAAACTGAATGGTTCACAAAGCAGTCACTAACCTTGAGGAAAACCTGCTCAAGTCACCCAAGAATCTAAAACACAATTCACCAGGGCAGCAGGGCCCTGCAGGGCCTGGTTTTGAGTGGCCCAGTCCAAGTTCTTGCACGATCCCAATTACATAACAAAATGCATGGTGAACTACGTTCAAGAGAATGGAGAGAATTACACCATCCCACTGTGCAAAGCTGGACAGCTAGCCAAATAGAAGCACTTTTGGCAGCATTCACTGCTGCTTGGCTATCAAGTACTGATTTAGGAGCTGGAAAACAAGAATTATGCAAGCAGTACACTTTGTATTTCGTCTATGCAGATTTTGATCATATTCAGCCTCCTTCACATACATTAGTGCTTAGTTTGATTATTCCAGTTTTTAATCAAAAAGTTTCATTTAAAAAAAAGATAAATCACTCTTAATATTAATATAAAAATACTAATGCTACTTGCAGGAACTGTAAACATTTGCAAGGCACTATATATACAGTAAGAGCAGCTGCGTGGAGCTTTCTCTCTCTATAGATAAAGAAATCGATTTCTATGCATAACAAATAGCTGTTATGGAAAAACATAGGAGTGTCTCACAGTTCTGTGCAATGCGGTTGATATGATAACCCTGACTGACATTCAGGTGATTGAAAGGGATTTAAGTACACTCACTACTGAGGTACGTTTCGTTTTCTGAAATGTTTGTTTTGTCGTACTTGAACAGTTAGAAGCAGAGCAATCCGCTGTTGTTTTTTTTACAGGCTGCATTTCACCCGCTTAAAAAAGCATGTCACTCTTCTTCACACAGTAAACTGTTCGTAACAATTGCATCAAGTTGGAGCCTGCATTTTTTTGTGGGGGAAAAAAAAGCATTGCGCCTTTTCATTGGCTGTTGAAGCACATGCTCTGTGTTCGGAAGGCGGACAGTAAGGATTTAATTACTTTAACCATACTCAATTAGTCTCAAGAGCTCTACGCCGCCGGGAGCCAGAGTTCAGTACAGAGCGAAACCAGAACTGTCACATTACGGTTCCTTTAACAGTTACTCAGTGTGTATTAAGTATTGAGAGAAAATACGTGGTCGTTCACGGCAGTAAATCGTACAACCATAGCTGTTACGAAATAAACATTCATTCACACTTTTTTAATTACCACGACGAAAAGCCTACGCGAAACGCGATTTGAATTTGCCTAAAGCACCTCGGTTGTACTCTGACGTTCCTATTTTCATTTCGATATTCATTCTTCGTCTAGTGAACGTTTGAACGAGTTCTGAAAAAAAAAATATTTCCAATTTTGTAAACGCCACGTACCTCAATAAAAACCGAAATGGTATTAAATTGGAACGACGCTTTACGCGCGTCGAAGATTTCGGGTTACACCAAGCACAGAAGATTGCTTCTCTTGACAGCTACTTAACTCCAGAAACCAAAACGGACAAAACAAAGATAGGTTTTCGTCCGCCAGTACTGGGATGTTTTGACAGCTGGAGCTCCACGCTCCCAAAAAAAAAAGCTTTATATAGACAACAAAGGACTTCAAACTTCGTGTCTCTGCTATCAACACTCAACACTAAGGAAGGCTTTGCAATACTCCTGCTGTAGTTTTTGACTGCCTGGTAAGGGATTTACTTCATCTGACTGGTTGCATACCCAAACTTTACTTCTTTTTAAAAAAAAAAATCTCGAGGTAACTTTTTGTAACGAAGACTCCGAAACAAATGTATCAACGTCGTAACATCAAGATCTATATGATGCACTGCATATTGTTTTTCTATGGCATCGGCCAACGTAGCATACTGGATATATCCCACTCTTATTCCTTCCCTGTTTTTTTTTTAAGCTGCGGGTTCCAACATCATATATGATTTTCGGCAAAGGTATCGGAAGGGTCACAAAAAAGGGGCTTCTTTCTGCTTACCAGCTTTGCAGGGATCCTTGTAATCGATCACATCTGAAGTGTCAGTGAGTTCCACATCGTAGCTCGGCTCCTCCGTGTCCGCATCGTTCGCCAATAACACGGGGAAGACGGAGAGCAGAAACAACCATCTCGCCATGAGACCCATGGTTAAGAAGTAAGGAGGGGGAACACTTAGGAAAGAGAAGAAACGTAGAGGAAAAGAAGAGAGGAATGAGAGAGAAAGAAAAAATGGGAGGTTTTGGGGGAAATGAGATCTCTCCGGAGGGCGGGTTTTAAAACGTGAGCTCTGCCCCTTCAGAATGCCTCGATTCTGGGGCAGTGATTCGCTCGCATACCCGGGCTCCGGGCCAGCACGGCAGCCTGCAAAGTTTGCAAAAGAAGATCATGGTTTGCGCACAATACTCATTATTTTTTGACCGCCCCCGATTGAACGATGTGTGGAAAATGACAGTGGACTCCCCAGAGAGAAAGAAAATATGGCAATCTGAATTCATTCGTCTACAGCCAGCGTTTTCTGAAGACGCGACCTAACCATCCATAAAAATAAATGCGCAAAATGCTTGGAATTGACCTCGTTATTTCAAAGTGTTTTTAGGCTGCTGTGTATTTGGAGTTTTTAATATGATAGATTTATCACGCACGACATTATCGGAATGCAGTAGTTCCCCCCCAGAATAATTCGGACAAAACTATCTTTTTGCCGTCTTCAGGCAACACAAAGCACTTTGGTGGTGTCAATTAGTCTTTAGTACAAACAGCTGTGCAATGTGGATACTGCTGATCTGAAAGGGGGTGGGGAGTCTGGAGTGGGCTGGCGAGGAATTTCTGCCACCGCAGCACTTTTTAAATTCCTTGTCTTAGGTCAGTAATGGCAAACTCACATTTATATCCTCGTCGATTGAGTTTCTGTGTTCCCGAATGTTGTGCACAACACGTAAACTAGACGAGAGCACGCCGAGTCCTAAAAATGCTCCTTAGTAGTAGTAGTAGCAGCAGCAGCAGAAGATCAACGTATACATTAACAATTTTCTTTAATTTGCGAGGTGAATTAGATGAAAGGGGATAGATTGCTATGGTCCGACTGTAATTTTGTACTGAGCTAAATGGTTGTTTCTTTAAGATCTCAAAGAAATATTTTCTTTCCCTTTTGCTTGTGATGTGCACAGGACTAAAATGTTAATTACAAGCAAATCACGTCGCTAGTCTGTTTTTTTTGTAAACACCTCTCATCGCTGATACATTGCCCGTACTTTGCTGTTTGCGGAGCCTCAGGTAAGTATGTGAAAAACCGCTTTAGCGGCTGGTAATTGAACCTGCTCTCGGCGGGAGCCGGCGTGTACGTTTTTCTCTGGACGGAATATGTCAATTGGCTTTTCGGTTTATCTCGGTCTAATATCTACGGTATCTACTTCCCTGTAACCAAACCACGTCCGAGTGTTCTGCTTCTCTGCAAAGCGAAGGAGCATTCTAAGCTTCTTTTATCGGTCTCTTAAGAACCTGCACAGAGAACAGAGATTAGAGAAGACACACAACAGAATGGGCAAAGAAACGGCAAACAAAGGGATAACGCGGGAGGGAGGTGTTAGCTACCCCTTTTACAACAGGCATGTACTTGTGAATTGCTTTGAAAGCTCCAGCAGTGTTTGGGGAATCTCCCACTCCCTATTCATTTTTTCCCCCTCCATAATCCTGTCTTGTTTGCAGCCCCTGGAGATGGAGAAGATAAACGGTGAAACGCAAGGGGGAACTATGGGGAAGAGCATTGAAAACTGGAAACCAAAGCACTTCTTTACGCAAAGGGTTGTGGGAGTGTGGCTCAAGCTCCCCAGCCGTGTAGAGGAAGCTATCACCTTGGCGTCCTTCGAGAAACAGCAGGATGAGATCCTTGGATTAATTAATTATCAAACATGGACCAAATAAACTCCTTCTTTGTAAACTGTCTTTTGTGGAGGTTGAGAAATCTGAGAGGCGTTTGTGAACTAGGTGTAACTGCCATACAGCTTCTATCCTTCTCACTCTGCACACTAGAACAAAGTTTTCAGCAAAACTTTCCTCTGAAATCCACGGTCAGATCACTGCCCTTGTATCAAGTCAGAAAAAATGGTATAGGCCACCAATGGCATAGTCTGGAGACCTCAAATCTCCAATTAACCATACAATTTGCATACATTCCAATTAGCATGTCTTCACTGACATTCATTAAGATCCGTAGGACCTGTTGTGGGCATTCAACCTGCTAGCCACTGTATCACAGGAGACGACGAGCTAACGGGCTGAAAACAACAAGCTATAAAACAATTAACCCTTATTTATTTGTAGTGTTTTCCGTTACAAGTTAGACCCTTTTGGCAAAATACTTTCAACTATTGGCTGTTTTTCCCTGAAGAGTGAATACTTCCCAAAATGAAAATGTCCTGGGCCAACCAAAATTTAGGCCACCTTTTTGATAAGGCCCAAGACTAAGGTCAGCCCTGCGATGCTTTTTCCTGTCATATCGACCAGTGAAGAATAAGGTTGAAAATTCGGAAGGTAAACAGGACTTTGGGTTGACAAAGTCAACATGTCTGTTTTAATAAGGGTGAAACATTTAGTTTGTCCGCAAAATCTAAGTTTTAATTGCAGACATCCATATGTTGTATTTAGCAGTATCCGTAATTCGTTTTAAGGAATGTACAAATTCTCAATTCGTTTATTTCTGCAACTGGAACACACCATGATATATAGTATGTAGTACTAACTACAGACAGATACGAAACTTTCACTTAACGGATAGTGGTAGTTGGAAAATTGTGTTTCAAATGAATAGAAATGTTGTCCTGTTATAGAGGGCTGCATGAAAGGTTTCCTGTAAACCGGCTGGTGATCGCTCCTGCAGATTGTGGGTGTTTCGGTTTTCCAAAATTAAATTGTGAAGCTTGTGTAACCGCTTGTGACGGTACTTGTGCCTGTGATCATCAGCCGGCGCCTGCGCCTTTATTTCTGAGATGTATCACACAGGAAGAAACACGTGTTCCAATTTTCCATGTAGCTGGCTGCCGCAGTTAATGCTAGATCAGTAATTGAGCGTCTTTATAAAATTCATATACAGCGTTGCAAATATACGTAACAGTATTGTTGCGTATGCATTACAGTATTTTGCTTTATACAAGCCAGTGTGCGAACAAGATAAAAATCCTTTGTCTCGGGCATATATAGTTAGAGGCTAAGCCTATGTAATAAAGTGACATAGAAGGTTAACTGTAAAACATAAACCTGTCATTCAGCACAGCGGATAATAAAACTAAAATGGGCACAGAGCATTTTGATACAAATCATCACAGCGTTTGGTTTGTTCTTTGTGACGGTCCGTGAACCCCATTTAAAAAAGAAAAACATCATAAAGTAATTCTATTTTAATAGGTTTGTGCCGAATTCTGGAAACAAGAACTACAGAAACGTTTAAAGGGGAGAGTGACGAGCAGGCCAAAGCAGTTAACCTAGAGCCTTGTCAAAACACGCTAATAAAATGCTTTCTAAGGAGCAGTAGTTCTATATGACGTGGAGTATTAAGAATGTTACAAGGAATCGTGTCGTTTACGGTACGGCAGCTCTTCACTTCATTTCACCCTTCGATATTTTCTTGTTTACGTTTACGAAATAAATTGGGAAAAGACAGTTTGAAGGCTTTTTTTTTTTTAGTCACGAGTGTCAACGCACGAGGACGCCTTAAATCTCGAGTGTGAATCGGGGATCGGACACGATGCCAGGCGAACCCTGAGGCGGGCCCGGATATGTTTAACAAGCAACGGGTCTTTAGTTCAGAAGTAGTTTCAAGGAGCGTTGGCAAAGGCGGGATCTCAGATTCATTTAGGATGTAACTGCTGCGACACGGTGGCCAAGATCTGGCCCTTTTACCTCAGGGCTGCTCAAGCAAAAGTTAGCAAACGTTTTTTTCTACAGTACCGTGCGAAAATTCGGTTTACAGTGAGAGAGTTTTTTCACTCTCGGTTTTCTAAAGATTATTTTATTTCTGAAAAACGAAATAGGTTGTGTTGTCTATTGTACCTTCCCAAGAGTAAACGTATACCGAGAGACCTTTTAAGAGATTAACCCTATGGAACTCAAATTATTTGTTGGCTGTGTAGGAATAAATTGACACCTTGTCAGAAATTACTCAGAAGGCTTAAAGCTCCAACAGAAAGAATACACTGTGCTTCTTGAAATTCTTTAATCCGCATGGGCAAAACTGCCGTAAGCGTTGTAGATAGTCAACAGTAGCCAGAGCTTTTAGCATCCGGACAAGAGCTTGAAAAATGTCTGAACCACACAGTGAAAAGTGTGGATGTTTGCCGAGATCTAAAAACCCAGAAGCCAATGACCGCTGGTGGCACAGCAAACAGAGCATGGATTATTCAATTTTCTTAGTTCACACCTCAATACCCTATTAATAACTATTGAGTTACCTCAATACCCTTCTGAAACCATATAACTGTCATTTCATAATATTGTTGGAGACTTCTAAATACAAGTACAATAAATAATTTTTCTCTTTATTTCCTTCTAGTTGGACAGCCACATTCTTTGAGCCATTTGTGACTTTCCTTTTTATCCCTGTGCTTATTCCAGTACGGTTTGCTTCTGGAAATCTTTCTTGAATCCCAATGACTGGATAAGTGCTGTGGAATCACATATCAATTCCAGTTCTCTGAATCTCATCGATGACTCATTGCAAACAGAGCTGTACATTTCTTGCGTTTTCCCCTGAATACTTTCCTTCAGGAGCACATTTAAGAGCTGTTTAAACCATTTATTTCAGTGTTGGCTGAGGCGTGCCAGATTCCTCATCTCTTGTTGGAGAGTGCTAAGTAATTTGTAATTCCTGCAGCTGGGATTGGTCCTCACTTGTATTTCTCAATGCAAGACTATACTTCCTCCATAACACAGCACTGATGACAGGGGCTGCAGACTGGAATTGCTGTTCCAGAGGTTCACCAACGGCACTTCCACTAACAACGTGAACAACAAGGTGTTTACCACTCTATCGTTGCATGTTGTTTGTAGAAATAAAAATATTAAGTATTTCTGGCGTCATTTCTATTAATCGGCACTCATAGCTGATTAACTTGAATTACTTGTTTATAAGCACTAAATCACCTCATTTGCAAGAGAGTTGATGGGGCATGTGAGCATTTTGGAGGCTGAAATAAGTCATCTCATATATGCCTTCAGTCATATCACCCTGCAACTCACATTTGACAATCCACTGAAGCCCAGCAGGTGTGAGCCTGGTCAGTACCTAGATGAGAGACCTCCTGGGAAATACTAAGGTTGCTGCTGGAAGTGGTGTTAATGGGGTCAGTAGGGGGCACTCACTCCGTGGTCTGTGTGGGTCCTAATACAAAAAGGTACTGTCCTTTGGATGAGATGTAAAACCAAGGTCCTGGCTCTCTGTGGTCATTAAAAATCCCAGGGCATTTCTTGAAGAGCAGGAGTTTTACCCCTGGCATCCTGGCAAAATGGTCTATTGGCCTTTACCACTTGAGGCCTACCAAAGAAGCAGTGAAATGGCTTCATCCCTCTGTTCTCCTCCTCACTGATAGCGGGTGTGTGGTGAGCAAACTGGCGCACTATAGCTGCCGTCGCATCATCCAGGTGGGGTGGAGGAGAGTCCCCATTACCTGTAAATTGCTTTGAGTGGTGTCCAGAAAAAGCACTATATAAGTGTAAGGAATCATGTAGACTCCGCCAAGTTGTAAGTTGTAAAGCCAGGTTTATTTAGTGAAGAATCAAGGTTTTGAGCACAACACCGCCAAGGAACATCAGCAAGTGTGGTGCAGCTAAACATTATGATAAATGTTGTGCCAAACAGACTTATGAATGTTGAAAACCCATTGGTATGGTTTGGACAGGAGTGTGTAGTTGCTCAAGAACTCCTCAAGTGGTGATTGATAGCAATCTGACTGATAGGCAATCATTGATCAAACCCGGGGAGCAGACCTGTGACCTTCCACTGATGGCTCCTTCTGACCTGACAATATTTCAGCATGACAATGGCCTCATGTTGCTTGTGAAACAGTCACTTTTTTGTGAAGGGGTACAGTACATGACAGTTAAACTGTGGATGCCTACTCACCAGATGTGAGGCCCTTGGAACACTTGTGAAGCAATTTGGGGATGGCACATTTTTAAGTACTCTGACAAGTTACCAAGCACTTTGAGGATCTGCTTTTAAAGGCACCATATAAAATAAAGTTTATTATGACTGTCATTATTACTATAGGTGAATGCAATGCCAGTGCACCTAGTGTAGTTTTTTTATTTTCTTTATTTATTATAACTTTGTGAATTTCTGGTGGTTATAAGCAATTTGACACTCAGTAGTGTAGTCTGAACTCAAGCAATTTAATTAAAAATGGAGCTACCATATTTCCCATTGTGTGGCATGCAAATGTCCCTTTTTCTTCTTTTTGGCAGCTCTAGAACTTTTTTTTCTTAATGCTAACCGTGGGCGAAGTTACTCATTTTGCAGGAGTTGTATCACAAATTGAGTGGTAAACACTGTAACCAAGCAACACAGTTCTGTCTATCCAAGAAGCATCACTTTTAAAGTGCAACTTCCATTAGACAGCACCACAAATGCCATTATTCATCCTTAAAATTGTGTAATTCCTTCATTGTAAGTATTTTACCTAACAGTGTAAAATAGACAGCACCCCCCTAATGGCATTTCTGCAAAAAAAATCTGGACACTTGTTTTTTTTACAAATTGTACAGTAGACCACACCTTGTGGATTCAACAGTACGCTGAACTTGAGGTCAGACAAGCCCAATGCGTCTTAACATGTCTTGCCTTAAAACTATAGTAGTATAAAATGATATGGATTAGTGAAGAATAGTCAAAACTAGTGTATAGCATTACTAAAATATATTTTTCCTGCAAAACATCTAAATATAATTCTTCTCTGGAATATGACGATATATTGTTTGCAGTAAATCCACTCCTGGTTAAGGTGATGTTTTCTCAATCTTAGGTGAGACTCTAGTAATGTTTAGTGATAAGGGGCTGACTGCCCCTTCTCTTGTGGTTGAGAAAGAACCTTTACTGCTTACGTAATATGATAGAGAAGCAGGATGCCTAAAGAATCCATCTATTATCAGAAAGCTGCTTATTCCTGGTAAGATTTGGGGAAACCAGGAGCCTATTTCAGAAGCAAATGGCAGAGAGCAGAGGACAGGTATAGCAGTATCTAGTATTTTGAAGGACTTTTCTTTAACCTGCATTTATCCAAAAGTAACTTACAATTGAACACATGGATAGGGATCCTTTACTTCATTAAACATCTTAGGAAGCCATCAGAGCTGAATTTCTCCAGCAGAGTGTGCTGCCCCCAAACACATGAATTTTTCTATTTTCTATTACTGTATTGTACATGCTTTTTTCCTGCCACATTAATATCTTTAGCTCTTTTTTGTTTAAAAAGAGTCTCGAATGACAAAATTAAAAAAATGCATTACCCCACTACTAAGTTCTAAACACACTACTAACATAAAATATTTTGATGACATTTCACTTTAGAAACATGATATCACGCTGTAACTTTTCCTTCTAGAATGGAGGAGGGTTAACAGATTTTAACCCTGTTTAACAACTAAAGTAGTGGACAAAATTAGGATGGACATCTGTTTATAACCTGTATTTTGAATTAGTTCATGACACAGGGCTTAACATCTCTGCTTTAGAATTGTTTTTTCTTTTACGAATTCTAAACTACAAAATATCATCGTAGTTAGTGGATGTCAAATAAATGTGTCCGTTCTTTGTAACGGATGATGCTGTATTCTCTCACTAAGTCAGGCAAGTAGAACCCGACTTTCTGTGGTAAAAGAAGAACCCGATTGGTTTCAGTCACTCTGCCATCGGACATTATCGGAACTCTCTGGACTAATTTCAGGGACTGCTGTGCTTTCTCCCGCCTTCTCTGTGGCTGGTTCAAAGCTGGCGGAGAGTGTAAATACTCAGACATGCTTATCTTGCTGGTTCATTCTTTGTGGTTTGTGGTAAAGGTATCTTACTGGACTCACAGAGGATTTATTAGTATCGGTGTGGTCAGTTATCTCTTTGTTTACTTCCAAATCAAGTTGCCTGCAAGGAGTCGAGGCTTGTTTAGAGGAGCACTCTGGCCAACATAGCAGCTGTGAAACATTAAAACACTGAGAGTCAGCAACGCAGACCTGGCATCTGTCTGGAAAAGAGAGGGCAAAGTTTCAGGTTTGGAAGTAAACGCAGTGCGGCGATTTGCACATTTTGTTGCCCGTGTGGACTGGTCATGAGTCTGCATGGTACTTTCTGGAGCAGAGCAAAAAAACCATGAGCAACGAACACCTTTCCCACCCCCACATGCTACAGCTTTTCAGGAATTCTACCCATTCATTATTTGCTCTACAGCAGACCCTCAGAAAACGTTTTACAGCGCTCACTAGCCCTTGTTTGTGCTGTTCAACACTGGGAGTGACAGTCGTCAGTCTGAGAAATACACAGAAATTGCTCAAGAACAGGGGGAAATAGCTTTTTTTCTCAAAATACTATGCCTGGATAAATAGCTATATAAATTTAAATGTCTTAAGTTCTTAGTATATTGTTCTATATTTTCATATATTTTTTTAAGAGGCTTGACAAAAGCAGCACAGTGGCATGCAGATATCAGTTAATATATTTCGAAATGTCTCAACGAAACAGAAATATCCGTATCTCCTATTCATACTTTAAGTAAATATTGAATTACTGACACGAAACAATGCTTTCAGTTTTACATTTCTTTAAATTACATTTCCGTATGGCTTGGTTTAAAGAAACCAAAGTCTGTTTTGTTCTCCGATAAACATCACTTTTACTTCGGGATCTCATTTGCCTGTACATAGGAAGTAATGATAACAATCTTCATTTTATATGGTGCCTTTCATGATACATCATTCCAAGGCACTTAAATCACCTCTGTTCCAATTACATCTAAACATAAGGTTAACAGGATGTCTGTTCATTACAAATAGTATATTTTGTACTGTGTTCTGTTTTCTGAAGTGCACTTAAAGGAAAGCCACATGAAAGAATGGTATTAAAAGATCAAAAAGATGTCTAATATTAAATTTACTAATGCATAGATGTAAAAGTTCAGAGAGCATTACTTGAATCACATAGCCTCTTGTGTAAGGAGAAGACTCATTTATAGAATAAGGGACTACAGAAAGAGTGACAGCAATCATCTGGCAGCTACCTCCGATTAAAATCTGCAATTCATTACAAACATGGCAGGACTCTTCTTCTCTCCATATTTGTAAAACTTTTTCAATGTGAATTAAAAGCAGGCACACTTCAAGATTGAATTCATTTGCTTATTTCCATTTTTAATACATCCCCTCTTTCTCCGTTAAGAGAAGGTGAATCCATTTGGGTTAGTTGGTTATTAAGAATCTCTCTCAAGACACCTTCAATATCCTCAAGAAAAAGTACTCTAGAAAAGTTAATTTCCTTGGTGAACTTAAAGAGACAGAAGGAAGATAGTTCACAGTCTGCAACCCACTAAGCAAAGCCTGATTTGCCCAGGAAACAAATTTCCTGCTAGGAATTAGAACAATGCTGTGTTTGCAGATATGACTTTGTTACTTAACTGTGTTTTCAGGAAGTACTGTAAGCTTTCAAGACGTTCTATTACACGCTGGCTTGCATCATACCGATACGGACTGCCAAATGCCATATCGGAGCAACCTCCCTACACAGTGTCCTTGTTCCTCAAACATTTACGCATTCATATATGAGGCAATAGTTGCAAGAACAACAAAATTAACAGATTGAAGGAATACCCCTGCACTTATGGAACACACTGTTGGATCATATTTTTCCCAAACTGTTATATTTCTGAAATGCTTTTGTGGCTCTAATAAACCACTATCGGTCAAAAGGGTGAGGACAACTGGCCCTGCACTTCTGTTCATAAATCCTTTAGAATGCATAAGATGAACTGAGCAGTAATAGACTTGTAACAGAGCAGTAACTGATCCCATTAGTAATGATTAATAATGTTTAATAAAAAAGCACAGGTTGTTCTCATAAAATCGTCTTATTAATCTTGTTTTAATAACTGATTATATTCTCAAGGGCAGTGCTTTCAGGGACAGCTCAACTGTCTTTTTTTTGTCCAGAACATTTTGCCTGTAGATAAGCGAAAGCTGGAAGGCAATAGTGAAAAAATAAATACACGTTTAGAATTTTGGCACATGTAAAGATAAAAACGTGATGGAAGTCCAGTTATATTATCAGTCGCTAAGATGAGATAATGTCGTGCACTCATCGAAGTCATTTTTATCTTTACTTAATGCTTAAAGTCTGACGCCGGTTCGGAGAACCTCAGACCTGAATGTTTAGCTTACGTAGCGCAATAGCTTCAGTAAAGTGTCAGAGAAACAGCGTGGAACACGGGCTCCGCGTGACCCTGAGGCCATTGCGTCTTCCACGCAGATACAGTAGTCGAGGGCGGCACGTTCTGTTCTGAAAACGCAAACGCAAATGCAAACAGAGAAGCCTCACAGTTCCCGAGGGAGGAGAGACGCAGTTGTGTGGCTCGTCTTTTCTTCCAGGAACACAAACACCGGAAGCAATCATGTAGATTCCCCCAAAATAAACGGAGCACATTACATCAGAGTCGGCTCCGAATTATTTGACCCCTGAGCCTTTGACCTAAGGCTAATCTTCGGGGGTTCCATGTTAAAAATCATTGCCCAGAAACCGAGCCCACCATGTGATTTTTAAAAACGTTCCCGTCCAAAGACCGGTAGTTTGAGCACGTGTTGCACATTTTTGTCAATAGTGACATTTGACTCTTTTAGCATTTAGCAATTTGCTTAGATTTTCTATTCACCGTGTAATTTTAATATCGACTGGGGTCATGTAAAAAAAAAAAATCTGTGTCCCTTTTCACATATGTTCTTGTGTAACAAATGTCAATTTATTGCCTAAGTGCTGAAAATAATACATTTCTTTCAGATATTTCACTGTATAGTTCCCAGACTGCTTCTCAGTGTCTTTTGATGTGCACCTAACTGAAAAGTAATAAGAATTAATACCAGTTGTCAGTGTAGGCTCTCACCTGGAAGGAAAGTCACAGGAGCTGCTAGTTTGCTGGCCATCTAATCTTGTATCATCAGCTTGAATACAGTGACCTCCGCTCCACCTCATTTCCTGGTAACATGATTTAAAGATTAATTCATTCTGTTCCACCTCTGGAAAGGTACACTAATGTTCACAGGGCCAGTGGAGTATGCACTTTCATTAACGACTGTAGTACTGTAAAAATGCTCAAATGTTGCCCATTTGGTTTGCTCAGACATACCCACCGCTCATACTCTGTATACTCTGTGCTGAATTCTTGTGACGTTTGTTAGAAGTTAAAATCAGCTGCAGACGAAACATCAGAAAAGATGAGCACTTGACTGAACATTTTCTGTACATTCTTGAATGCAGAACCCTCATCTACAGTGACCACTAATCCAGCAAACATTTGAGTGGAAATACAGATGCATAAACTGTATTCAGGGAATTCGGGGATACAGCTCTCATACTACATTTATAACCAAAATATCTAGCTCTGCACTGGGGTACCAGAAATCATTGGCCTATTTTCTATACTTGTTGGACATTTCATTACTTAATTGTTACTTAACACTTTTGACTTTTCATGCCGATGGCATAGTTTTAGGGCTGTGAACAAGAAACAGGAAGACATCTATTTCTGTGGGAGTGGTGGTACAGCAGTGCAGTTGCTATCATTCCTACCATACTAGAGACTTTGGATGAAATCCTTGGGTTCTGTCTGTGTGGAGTTTGCATGTTCCCGTGGGTTTCCTCCAGCTCCTCTGTTTTCCTTCCACAGGCCAAAGACATACTGAAAGCAGGGTAAGTAGCTTCTGAAATCAGTCCTGGTGTGAATGTGTTTGTGTCTGTCTCATGGATTGGTGTCCTGGCCAGGGTGTACCCCTGCAAACCTGTACTGAATAGAGCAGTTAGAAAATATCAGACTTCCTCTATTCCTTTCAAAAAGTGTATGTTTTGAGTTGTTGTCTTTATCCTTATGAAATGTTTACATTAGTACATTCATGTGTTATGGCAAAGCCAAAACTAAATCATATTTTATTAAGTGTAGAGAACTACTGATCTGTTTTTGCTATTGAACATTCACATACTTTGTTGTCAAGGGGTTAAAAAGCCGCTGTGTGCTTTTAAGTGCTGTTGATGCTGTGTTGTAAAGACATAATTAAATGATGTGTGAATTAGCGGAACTCTTTAAATAGATCAGTACAGTGTTTATGCAAAATATCCATTAGGCTGTGCATTAGCTAGTCTATTATTCTTTACATCCCACCCTTCAGTTTCATTAGTGGCTCATGACAGTATGTTCTGAAATTGTGCTCCTAAAATATTATAATTAATTATAATGCACATTAAATCAGCTCAAGCGTTTTGTTGAAGTATCCTACTCAGCTTCACATATTCCTCTAAGTAAACTGTTCCCACTAGTGGTCAAACCATGTACTGCTATAATGTTCCTAATGAGCAGAGCTGACACCTTTAATTGATCTGCCTGCATTTCACATATCACTCTACTTTATGGGTATGGTTTCCAATAACTTTAACAGTTACAGACCTTGAAAAAGGCTCTTCTCAACTTGCTTTTAAAAGTTTGCTCCCTTAATTCTGATTAAACAACTCCTGACACGTGATTAATTCCTGGTGGACTGATATACCTGGGAAAAACAAGTTATAAGGAGAAGAAGAAACACTCATGAGTCCAATTCGTGACATTTAAGGTAGTGCACCTGAATGAGGGCAGGTCAAAAGCTCAGAAAATGGCACAAATCGATTAACCTGTGATTACGAAATGAAATATTAAGCTGAAGATATATTCTATCGAATGTCAGTCGTCTATATACCAGCAGTTCCAGAACCAAAATTCAAACAGAAAAAAGTGCAATCTCTTATAACACTGTGGCAATGTCACTAAAAATGCATCTCGCATACAGAAAATCTATATTTTAAAAGTATATACATATAGTTTAGTACTGGGTTCAGTTCCTGGGGTGCCATCTGTATGGCATACAGTGTGTTTGTTCTCAAGTTTTCATTGGTTTGCTCCAGGTACTCTGGTTTCCTCACACAGGCCAATAACTTTTAGGTTGTTTCACAACCTAGAGGTCCAGGAATGGACTCTAAGTGGGTTCCAAGGTCAGGGTCAAGAGGTGGGCGAAGGTATGAAGCCGGAAGACAAGTTTAATATCAAGCACCAGAAACACAATCCAAAAGCCAAGGTCAGGAAACAGGCCAAAGTCCAGAATTCAGGCGAGGAGTCCAGGAAGAATTCAGCACAGGCTAGATCAAGAGCTCTAGGAGTTGAAAACAATACTGAACACGGCTTGAACAAAGAGCAGGGTTTAAATAGGTTTGGGGAGGGGAGGCGTAGTGATGTAGGCACACTGGGCAAGCAGGTATTGGCTACAGCTGCTGTCTGCTTGATCTGCTCCTCTGCCACACAGAAGAAGTAGGCCCTACAGGTTGAGGTGCCCTCTAGTGGCTAGATGCTGGGACTGTAACAATACCAAATGGATGTGTGCTTGTCTGTGCGTATCTTTGTATCCCCTGCGACCCTCTATTGGATAAAGTGGATGGATGGATATACTGTAACTTAATAATAAATTGTTATGGTTTCTTGTGTATGTGTGAATGTCATACTGGATTGTGGTTTCTTTTGTTTTTGGAATATTTGGATAAACGAGTGGGACTCCTGGGCACCGACAACATGCTGCTGTTCATTCCACACCACAAAAAATAAAAATTAAAACGCTGAAGCACATCACTCATTGAGGAGCTCTGCGTGCTTATCACAGCTCTGCTTCAGGCAGAGATAGACGTGCTGTTTGAAATTGCTGTTAAATCACTAAGAAAAGAGGGATAGTGAGATCAATATTGTTTTTCATCTCTCATCTTAGAGAGCAGGTATTGCTGTTTTAGTGCCTTAGCCTATAACATTTCACTTATTCAACACCCTGACCAGTCCGTTTTTCTAACAGTTTTGTTTTCACTGTCCTTTTGAATTAAAGAGAGTCTCTTTAATGTAAACACATAATTAGGTCTGCCAGCTGTGCATTTAGTGCTCATTACTTAGAAACAAGAATATATTACTTGTACGAAAGAAGAGTTTCTTTAATGCAGCTCTTATCATTATTTAGTTACAAGGTGTGTCAATTAAGGTGTGAACGTGAAACAGGTACCACTATACCTGTTCTGGGCTGGAGCCAGACTGAAAACAGCACTCAGAATTCAGGAAGGGGTCAATTGTAATGTGTAGTCTCTGCTCACTTCTGGGAACAATAATTTCTTTAAGTTCTTGCCTGGTGTGTGCATTCAAGCCCTATCTCCTCTGTCTACCATTCCCAGGTCTCAGTCGTCCTATCTCTGACTTTCAGCTTGAAGAGAGCCCTGTCATCTTTAAGAATTACTGCCAGAACTGGATCCATGCAGGGCGCCACTGTTTTGATTGACTTTTAAAAATATATATATACACACAGGCCATAAAATTCATTTCTCACAGCTGACTGAATTCTTCTCAAACAGTTTGCCTCTGTAGCGAGATGAAAACTGTTCTGGAAGAATAGAAGGTGGCTAGACAGCAGAGTTTCAGACTCTTGTGGAATACTAAACTCATCCTGGTAACTGATCTTTCTGCTCACAGAGGTGTGCTCGATGGAGGATTCTAATGATTTGGCCAGCGAGTGTACAAAACACTGCGTGCAAATGGCTGCACCTACAGAGACCCCACACACCCCAGCTACAGACAGACTGTATGACCCTCTACCATACTGGAGCATTCGGGCCCGGACTACCAGACTCAGAGACAGTTTTTACCCCCGCACTATCAAACTATTAAACTCCCAGCCTCTCTCACCTATGATCTGAACCTCACAGTGCCTTCTTTCTTACCAAAAACTCAAACACACATTGAAATCTGCCTCTACCTCACATGTTAAGAAGCTCACTCCCCATAATTGCCTATCCTTTATTTCATTCTGTTCATGTATGTTTTTGCACATCTGATGTTGTTTTGCACATTACCTGTTACCTTTTGTTGTTTCGCACACTGCCTGTTGTCTCTGTCTTTCTTTTATTATACAATTGTATTGTTTTTTGTACTACTTATCGTCTGAGAGCTTGCTAAATAGCATTTCATTATACCATATACCTGCATATGAGTATAATGACAATAAACTTGAACTTGAACTTGAAGATACATCCAAAACAAGCAGTTTAACCTTATACATGAGTGAGGGGCTTGGGTATCAATATTTTTACCATGACCAGAGATGTGCACATTATATGCATACGGAAAATACACAGGGAGAAGGTACCATAGTGTTAAAAACAAAGAAACTGTATCCAGAAAAAAATACAAACAGTAAGTAACAAAAGGAAGGAAGACGTATTTTACCTCAGGATGTTCAGGTAGAAGGCTTCATCTGGTGCATCCAGTCATTTTTCTGTACCGTACAAACACCAACACACATTAACAGCAAAGAGATTTATTGATTTGCTTGTTCTTGGCACAAGCAGGGAACCTGCTATTGTGTTTTAGGTACAGCACTACACACAGGGCACATTTATTGTAAGACCGATACAAGGTCAGCATAAAGAATATTCTTTGCATATTGCTTATGCATATTCTTCGGCATAAAGAATTGACGTCAAACGCACAGAAATAGAGAGCCCATGTCATTTTGTTAAGAATGCAGAGCTATTTTCAGTCCAAGATAATAGCTGGCTTTTTTGAAGAATCAGCTGGAAGAGATCCTTGAATCAATTAGCTACTAACTGCAAAATGAGTTAAATGGAACAAATGGCCTGGTCTCTTTTATCATTCATGAGGAATGACAACGCCCAAAATCAAAGAGCAACGAACTATTGTGGAGCAAATGTTTGGCTGAGGGCCGACCACCTGGCCACAGGACGAGGAGACCAGAACCCCCACGCAGGGTAACCAAGGGGTAGTTGCAGAGGTGGAGTTGGGGTGGAGGTGGGATGCGAGGGTGGGAGATATCGCATTTGGTATTTATAGCGTTCGGTGGAGGAAGGATGAAGGGAGTGATTGCTAATCACTGACGGCTGGGAATGATTGAGCCGAGTTGTTGTCATCCCTCCTGAACTTTCATTAAATAAACTCCATTTGTTCTTGTGTTATTGCATTAATTTGATTAATGTTATAGGCGTTATCTGATTCACGGACCCCACCATCCTGCTTGCAATGGTGTTCATCTTCTCCAAAGGATGGAAGAAGGTCAAAGTCTTTCAGAAGCAAAAGTGATTTACTTATGTTGAACAGCTCATAAACGTAACATCACGACACGGTTTTAGAACACTGGATTCTCATATCACTGCCAGAAAAGGAGACATTGTTGGCCTGAAAATCCATGATACAAAAGAACAGCATGATTTAAATACTGTACATACACTTTCACTTTATAACAGTGGTTCACATTGGCTTGCTCTGCAAACTGCAATTAACATACATAACAATTGCCAGATATTCTAGTCTGCACCCTAACCTGCTTATGTGGAGCGGGGTCTACTGCAGATTACAAAAACTGCGCATTGATTAATTTAGGTAGTGATAATCTGTACATCTTTACATTTACATAGAACCCTGAAATGTTAAAACAGAAGACAGAAGATATTGATATAGTAGGCAATATTGTTCACAAATTGACTATTACGTGTAGAAGCGTTACTTTGTCATATAAACACAATAAAATTCTTGGAAAAGCACAATTATTTTCTTGTTTAAATGCAAAACTATCTCATAGAAACACAAAAAATAATTCTCCTTGGCACTAAAAGGCTTCCGTAGTTGCAAACATTTTTGCAGAATATGTTTTTATTGTTCCAACGGTTGTAACGTTTTTGAGAGGTAAGCATTTTGTTACGACAGAGCTTTGTGCATTTTACACTAGATGTAGAGTAAGCAGCAATGTAAATTCAAAGGTGGAGAGTAAGACAAATTAAACAGAAAAGATCCAAATGGAAAAAGAGAAAAGTAAGAAATGTAACAAATTCATCTTTGTAGAAAACTATGAATGTTTAACTATGATTCATGCCTTTGAACAAGAAAACATTCAATGCACCTTTTGAGCTGCCATGTGAAAATTATTAGTTTTTAAACATCATCACACACAATAATTACACCTTAGAAAATGCTTAAGGTCACTTAGCCAGCATTGGTTAACCGTAGAGCTGTGCTGGAATTGCAGACCTTGAAAAAGCTTAACACGATCATGCTAATCTGTATGTTATCTCCAAATGTCAGTTGCAGACAAAATGTCTCTTTTCAGTACAATAGATGTTTCTGGGTAACCTTCCAAGTTCTATTAGAAAGCAAAAGATTGAAAGGCGATTGGAGCAGGAACTGTGTGCTGCTTTTCATTGTACAGCTTTTACCTAGAAAGGAATGGCTAGAATTAGAAATCTCGGCAGGAGAAACATAACACGTGCTTTGAAAACGCATGTCTTCACACTATGAGACACTTCATGCAACATGCAATTTAGAATGCCACTCACATGATCACATCATCATCAATATGCCAGGATATAATTTGGCAGAGGCTTCACCTTGCTTAAAATGCAGTTGCAAGCCCTCTCTCAGGCAATAGACATTCTATCAAGGGTTGTAGTGTGGAGCAACAGTTTACATTCCGGACTTGAGGTCAATTTCTGAGTAAGCTACTGTTGTTGTCACCTTGCACAAGGTACTTCTTCCAGGTTGCTCCAGTGTATAAATGCCCACCTGTGCAAATGCAAGTCTTTTTGGATAAAAGTATCACCAAAATAAATTAGAAACACCACTCTTGGATGGGGCGATTGGTCTCCTCTTGTTTGGAACTGTTCTTATGTTCATTACACCAGTTCTAATGTCGCTAGAATTGCTTGCCTGTGAATTCAGTAACTGATTCATAAACTGCTGTAGTAACATCTTCAGCATCTACTAACTCCATATGCTCTTGTACCCTCTCTGAGATCTGAAATCTCTGACACTCTGGTTATACTAAGAAAACTCCAGAAAACAGTCAGAGCTAGAGGGTTATTGTCTGATGCTCCCCGACTATGGAATTCTCTTGTACATGATGAGACACACAGTCTTGAGTTCCAGGGCAGTGGAATGCTTCAGTACGAAACAAAAACCTGACATTCAGATATTGCTTCAAACTTTAAATAATACAGTAATATAGATTATTGTTGTGCTGATACATCAATGGAGGTACTCTAAAACAAAACAGCTTGTTTGAGAGGGCAGTAACCTTGGCCACCATCAGTTAGAAAACAACATTAGATCTTACCCAGGAGATGTATTGAAGGCACACAGTGGGAGGAGGAGAAACCATGGAAATCAGGAATTAGGATACCTTTGAGAATTTTGCATCAGGTGACAAATAAGTAAATGTAAGATTCCCAGTGGAGGGAACAACTAAGAACTATTACATTTCACAAGTGGTGCTGTCAATGATTGACTCAGTAAATATTTTGAATATCCATTTATGACATCCAACTGCACTTTATAGTCTTAAACATGTGGGGACCTGGAGAGATGGATACAGAACAGTTTATTCTTGCCTCATTCCTCCCAGGCTGTACAGACTCCACTGCGAGTGGTGATTCTACTAATGTCCTCTAGGTTTATTCCCTGGGTTCCCTTGGGAGTGCCTTGTGGGATACCTTTTCTGTTGGTGACTTTGCACACAGTAGACTCTAAGGACTCTACATTGGAGACCTTGTTGTGCAGGGAAAAACCACTGGACCAGGGAGTCCTTTGGGTGTAAACCTCCTGATGGATGTTTTCCAGGGAGCAGAATCGGAAGGAGATGGCAGCCTGGAACCCCCTCTTGAAGTTCTCATTGAAGAATCCGTAAATGATGGGGTTCACACCACTGTTAAAGAAGGCCAGCCAGTGGGCGAAGGGGAAGATGTAGCTGCTCAGAAAGTCGATCTGCTCTTCGCTGAGGTCTCTGTAGTCCGTCAGAAGCATCAGTGTCCAAAGAGGAAGCCAAGAGACCATGAAGAGCATGGTCACGATGATCAGCATCTTGATGATCTTCACCTTTTTCTTGGAGACAGAGTTTCTCTCCTCTTGCAGCTCTCTGGACCTCTGGCCCACTGGCCCAAGCTTGCTGAAGAGCTTCACCACAATCCTCCCATACATCAGGCTGATGAGACCCAGAGGCATGAGGTATATGTGCACAAAGAGAATGGTGGTGTAGACGGTGCGCATCTCTGGATAAGGCCAGTCTTCGTAGCACGTGAGGAGTGGGTAGGTGTCATTATTTTGGACCACGTAGGTGTCCTTCAGATGGATCACAGTCAGCATGGTGGCTGAAGGGCACATGATTGCAAAGGCCAGCATCCAGATGAAGGCAATAGCAAGAACAGCTTTGAACATGCTCATCTTCTGTCGGAAGGGGTAGACTATACAAAAGAACCTGAAAGAAAAGAGAAGTCTCAAATGTTCCTGTTTTCCAAAACCTGCTCACAACACCAAGCAATTTCCTAGCAAAACCTCTCTTTCATTGCTCCTCTTCTAACTGTCCATGTGATAGGGAAATATTATAAACAGAACTCAAAAGCATATTTTAGATTTTAATTAATGTTGAAAAGGAAATATATTTTAAATTGTATTTGATAATATATGTCCCAGCTTTCATTCAGAATCTTAAAGGGGAACGGCAACACTTTTTAGACTTCGAGGTTAGAATGAATTGGCAATAATGATGCATTTCAAACCACAGTGAAACTACCAAGTACACGATAACGTACAACCTCCAATTTTCATCACAAAAGAGACAACATTTCAATGTATACATAGTGCTTTATTGCCATCATTGTCTGTAATTCAGAATGAGGCAACTTACATTGATGCAAAAATGGCCCTTTTACATTGTAAACATGCTTTAGACCAAGCTAACTTTGGCACTATTTTCAGCAGGCCGACATGTACAAGGTGATGTTTTTTAGATACTTGTAAGTATTGTGAAAAAAGGGCAACCTGAAAACTAAAACACACTCATATTCATTTTCACATTTTGCAAAAGTGCTTGATTATTGCAGGCATGCAAAGGGATTTTCTGTACAACATGCTACCCAATAAAAGCTCTTTGGCGTAGAAAAAAAAGATTCACTTGTTGTTTTTGCTGCGTTATTTTTAGCCTGTTGTTTTCACAGGAAAGTTCCAAAACAGTGCCATCGATAATATTTTCACACTTAAGTGTAAAGTCAAACATTTTGGACAAAATGGCGGTCGCTAAAAAAGGAAGGTTAGATGTTCACTCACTTCAACCATTTAGGAGAGATGAATAGGGATTTGTTCCACATGAAGACCGTGCTGTTTGTTTTCTATGTTGTGAGAGTGTCGTTTGTCCTACCAAGTTTCCAAAGATGTTTTCAGACAAAACACTACAAAGGCTGAGTCTATCAAAACAGGCCATAGTGAGGTACGGAAAATAAAGCAGCATCTTTACTAATTTCTGTGGAACTCAATTTCCAGGATCTGTGAAACACACGAGGCTACTGAAAGCAATCAGTGTCACGCCCAACATTCCTCCCCTAGAGGGCGCTCCACTACTCCCGTTATGAGTCCCGTGATTGTTGCTATGCTCCCCAGGTGGACCCTGTTATGCGTACTGCTATTTAAAGTCCAGCTCCTCCAGTCCTCGGGGCTCATCATTAGGGAATGGATGTCGCAAGGCCCGCCTGGCACCAGGAAACCCTACGTCTGTCTCCTGAGGGCACAGGCCTCATCCCCGACACCTCCTGCTTCCTGAGCCCGGGGTCTGGAGGACCTCGCCCCGCCAACCTAGGACCTGCATGTTTTGCGTGTGTTTGTGTTTTCCCCCTTCCCGGGGATTTTATCCTTGTCACGTCAGAGGATGGATTAACTGTTGATGGACTCCTGGACTGTGCCCTGACTTGCCTTCAGACCTGCTCGGATTTGGATGCCATTCTTATCTCCCCTGCTCACTGTCACACGGACTGGCACTGTTTTTTGGTGCACTATTAAACCACTGTGTGTTTTCCCATACCATGCCTCCTGTTTTCTCCAGCTCTTACCGCATCGCATAGGGTCAACAACAAAACCCGACACGGACTGCAGGTCCTGTCTGTAACACACAGTGTCTCATGACACTGAAGTCTCACTGAAATTTGACTGTTTGAAGAAAGAGTCATTTTCACCACTCTCAGTATTTGGATCAACATACCTCTGTGTAACTACACTCAGGCTTGCGTGTAGCTCAGAAAGAGAAAGCAGAAAGCAAGGGCTTACACTAAGACATGCATATTAGCTTAATAATGTTAGATATTATTATATTTTAGCATTGAATTTTTAAAAATCAAAATGTAAGTAGGACTATTCTTGGTATTAAAAAAGTAACAATGGCATGCAAATCCATAAAAATGAGTGCATGAATTAACTCTTGACACTCCCCTTCTGAAAGGCCGCAGCTCCTTGGCCTACACAAACCTACTTCTTTTTTACTTTTCCTGGGACATGCTACTTCTCATGATCATAAGCCCCTCCTCTTAAGGACGCTCCGGCTCTTCCTTGTTTGTCCTGATTTTTTGCACCTGCCTCCTGTCTCAGCCCTTTCCCTACAAAAGCCAGATGCTCCCACCATTCCAGGTTCAGCATTGGGAGATGGACGCCTGGAAGCTCGGCTACCAGCGAGTCCAGGAGCGGCTCGACGGCATAGGCTTCATCCAACGTCCTGACCATCTGAGTCTGGGGCTTGGAGTGCCTGGCCCTGTTATCTCTTTTTATTCCTCCAACCCTTTCCCGGATCCCACTCCGGATTTTAACTTTGTCATGTCTGTCATGGATGGACCACCCAGCCCTGGACATTTCCATTCCCTCCATTTTCCTACGGACTCCCTTTGGACTTTGGACTTTGCCTTGGACCACGCCCCCCACCCCGAGCACCAGCGCACCATCGACATGCCCCCCTGTTCTTCTTCCAGCCCCGATCCCAGTCTTTTTTCCCCGTGTCTGAGATGCACATCCTTCCGGATTTTATCGTCTGCATAGGGTCCTGAAAAACGCTTTGTGACACTACTTCTTCAGCTAGAAAGACTCCAGTCAAGACTCTAGCACTGGGAGACCAAGAGAAGAAAATCTTTTCTGCCAACAGATTCAGGTGGTAGGAGGGTAATCCTTTGTTAACACAAAGAATTTTTCTTTGAACTCGCTCTCCGCTTGGCAAAGCTCTCCTTATGAAATGTAAATAAGTCTTTCTTCCCTTCAGACGAGCTGTTTGACTCAGTCTTGTCTGTGTCTTAAACCGACAGTAAACACATGCTGTTGGACTATGTTGTGGTTTATATTGGACCAGTGAATTGATGCCTGTCTCCATCATGTTGAGAAGCACGTTGCTGTAAGAGTTCACTTATAAGTTTCCTTCATTCTGAGTAAAATTCTCTGTAACCACTTTGTTTCTACAGTACAAAACAAACATTTTGGGTCTGAATGTTGTGTCCACTCTCTGTCATAAAGTCACAATTGCTCACACAATTTAAGTATACTGCATTTTTAGCAACCTACAGACTACAGGGTTGAGAGGCCCTTGTCTATTGTACAACATTTTTCTTTAATAATGAGAGATGTCAGCACGTACGCTAGAGAAGAACAGGAACCACAATGAAAAGTAAAAGAGAATGTTTCGGCTACAGATACTTTTTTAGAAATTACGTTACGATGACATGACAAGGCAAACATGCTGTGTATCAAAATGTCTATGATCTTGTATTGTATTAGGACTTTGTATGAAAACACAATTCATCTTCCTCTTGAAACAGATAATTGCAGCAATTAATCTGCCAAAATGAAGGGAGATGGTTTATATATTAATTTATCATGATGTGATTTTAGCAAACATAATCAAGCATCTGGATAGGAGAGTGTCACTGTAGTGCTCTTGATTTTGATCAAGTTGTTTTTTCTGTTACTGTATAGAAATCTGTTTATTCCTTTAACCCATTTTTGAAACACTTCATGTAATTCAGGGTCCCAGGGCTCCCGGAGCCTATCTCGCCCAGCAACGGGCACAAGGCAGGGTATACCCTGGACAGGACACCAGTCCATCACAAAATATAAGAAGTAAGTAATATTATAATTACAAATCTTGAAAAATCAAACCCTCACTGAGAGCTTCACACATTAGGAACAGTTAATGGGTGAAAAGAGAAGAGAGAAAACACAACGTTTCGGCTATGAAGCCTTCTTCAGGTGTGAGAAAGACAGGGCAGACAGCAAAGATTAAAAAGCACAGGAGAACAAAAGCTGGGAGAGGGGAGGAGGCAGGAGGGGCAGAGAGGCCACTCAGGAAGTGCAAAGTGGAGAGGGGTGAAGAGAGGTGTGAAGTCAAAACCTGCATGAGAATGGAGAAGATGACACGAAAATAAGTCTGTCATTGAGAGAAGAGGGATGGTGTGGACCTAGTTTCAGGATGAGTTTCGTTTCTGTTGTCTTTCTGCTGTGGGAGATGAGAAACCCTTCCCTGAGAACAGAGACAGAGAGATCAGTGTGATCATGGCCGTCTGAGGTGAAATGAGAAACGATGGACTTGTAAAAATCTTTCATCTTCACAGCCCTAACATGTTGTCTAAAGCGGTCTCCTAGACTTCACACATTATGTGTGTGGACACCTGTAACAGTGTGAGGTTAGCAGGGACCAAAAATAGCACCAACAAAAGTTGAAAAAAAAACAAAAAAGCAAAAAGAAAATGTGCCACTGTGCATCGCGATATCCAGCCTGGGCTTACGAGGTCCAGCCTGGGAAAACACAATTGTTTAGCACAACGGTGACGGTAGAGCAGGGCGCACAAGGCCAAAGCCAAAATAAAAAAGGAGTGTAAAAGCAGTGCCTGCCCTGATAGAGACACGTAACAGGACAGGCAAAAAGAAAAAGAATGACAGCCTTATGTGGATACAATCCCCTCTGGGACTGCTGGCGAAATTATCCCCCACTTCTGGGATTTGCCCAGTTCATCCCTTCGGGGGTGTCCAGTGTGCTTTTATAGAGGCTTCACAGCTGTGACTCGAAAGGCAAGGCGTCACTCGTCCTCCAGGGCTCTGCCTCCACACCGAACACGCCCCCGCACAATGCCACACACTCGATTTCCATACATTGTCCTATTAGGCTTTGGGCCTAGTCTATCCCAGAACAGTGCTTTTCCACTTTTTTAAAATGTAAGGAATCATTTCTCACAGCCGCAGTCTATGCATATGCATTTTTGTATCAAGAACATTAATATATCTTGTTTTACTATGATTTTGCTTTAGTGCATCAATAAATATTTTGGAGTATTAATTATACTGCTATCAGATTACAGAATTCCTGAGCACTCAAAGGATGTGTCCTTTTTTTCTCCATTACAGCTCTGATGATACAGTATGAAGCAGGATTCAAACTTACACATGACAAATATTTATTAAGAAATATCACAACTGTATAACACACACAACAGTTCCACAAGTGAACTTCCAGAAAGAAATAAGACCCCCGGCTGGCAGAAAGGGGAACCCTCCTTGAGAACAGCTCTGAAGACTGAACAGCTTGAACAGCCTTGAAGATGGTGATTTTTCCTTTCTTCTTGTTACAGTACCAGCGTCCCGCCACCAGAGGGCTCCCAAACAGTACATACCTCATCCACTCTGGGGAGGCGTAGGTTAATCAGACCTCGTTAACCCATCACCACACCTCCCCTTCAGCCTACTTGAACCCTGCTCCCTGTTTCAACCTTGCTCAGTATTATGTTCACTTCTTGAGAGCTACACATCCTGTTTCCCTAAGATATTCTTTGCTTCCACTTTTGGCCCTTGGATGTTTTGCCTTGCCTTTTGACCACAAAATTCTGGATTCTCCTTTGGATAATTATTGCTTCAAGATCTTTCGGCTTTTTGACTTACTGTTTGTTTGGACTATGGCCTTGGATTTCCCTGATTTCCCTGTATCCCTGTAACCATCAGCTACTTTTTGTGTAACCATTCTCTCTTCTCTTCATTCCCTGTCCTCTACCTCATTCTGTCTGGGTTTGCTATGGTCCATTCCTATGGAGGCTGGCTTAATGAAATGGACTGGGTAGTGCTGAATCTTTATTCCATGATGAATGTTTATTTAATATGATAGTCTTAACGATCTACTGCAGAGTTCATTAGCCTGAGTAAATTATTAGGAGCACCCTATGATCATCTGCATCTCCTTCCATGTTTACCTGACTACAAGCCCGAACAAAGCTATGTACAGTAAATACCAAATAACAACAGGATGTGTACCAAACCGTCTTGAGTAAGGCAAGCTGGGAAGAGCAAACATTGCTGAACTTTGCTGAAACTCAGCTGCCTACCCAGTAGCAACAATATTAATATTAATGAAGATCTCTCTAAGAAAATAAAAGATATTGCTGCTTCAGATGCCTTCAACATTAAGAAAAATATCAGCAGCCATATCACCCTGCAACTCACAACTGGTAACCCACTGAAGCTCAGCAGGCGTGAGCCTGGTCAGTACCTGGACTACTGCTGCATGCCGTATTGTTGTGCATTTGACAAATAAACTTTGATTTGAAAAATCCCAGGGCGTTTCTCGAAAAGAGTAGCCTCCTAATAATCCCCATCTATTACTCTGCTCTCCTCCCAACTGATAGCTGGTGTGTGGTGAGCGTTCTGGCGCACTATGGCTGCCGTCGCATCATCCAGGTGGGGCTAAGGGGATACCCATTACCTGTAAAGCGCTTTGAGTGGAGTGTCCAGAAAAGCGCTATATAAGTGTAAGCAATTATTATTATTATTATATGTCCTCGGCATTTGAGTATTTTCTAGGAATACAGAGTCTGGAATACAAATCCAACTTTTGAGAGGCTAAAGAGTCATGATGCTATACTAATAGCTTTATGCTATATTTATGCTATATATATATGCTGAATCACTAGATCATGTGATTCCCATACTACTTTAAAACTGTCAGACATTTCGGTACATTGCTTTTACTGAAGCTTTGTCACTTATTATTGAGGTGTCTGGCATGATGAGCATCTGATAACAGTGTCTTGGGGGCAAATCAAGTAAAAATAAACAGGCGTGTGGTGTCTGGGAGATATGGACGCAAATTCCAGTAGGACGCTCTTGCTCTCTGATGGAAAAAACAGCAGGAGACAGAGGTTCAGAGTTTCTGAGTAATTTCTGCAGCAGGCGCCCTTCTAGAGGAAGGATGAGGCGGAATGAGGCAAAATTTAGAGGAAAGCTAAATGCCAGCCAAAAATGTCAGCATTGTCAAACAAAAAAAGCAACCACTGAAGATCGTGATCTCCCCCCAATGTCTTTAATAAGCAGTTTAATAATGGAAGCAGTAAGGGTATTGTAATGTCAGCTGAAAGTGAAAGCACTGGTACCATTCCTGCACTGCTGGAAATTGGTAGAAATATGAGTGAGTAATGAAAACGTGTCTTCAAAACACACAACTCAAACTGTACACAAAAAACATTTGCCAAGCAGGTTCTATTTAGAGAGATCTTGACTGTTGGTGAAATTGCACAGATCACCAACAGTGCAGACCAGGTTTAAATCTGAAAGCGTGTGTGCAGGGAGACCTTTTACTCTATAAACAGACAAAAGTATCTCCTCTGGGTGAGTTTTGGAAGACACAAGAAATAAAGGAGGAGAAGGTGGGTAGATGAGGGGGTAAATCAACACAGTTAACAAAGGAAGGATTAAGTTAAGTATTTAACTATGCTTTAAGATTTCCAAAATCCATGTGGACAGAACAGAATTTGAAACGCAATGGTTGAAGTCATAAATGCTGCTAAAAACAGACCTTAATGATGACTCATACAATGTATAATACAATGAAATGTGCATGTATTACATACACACTGCATGTACACATTTCTCCCCTATACTTTGCTTCTCATAAAGTTCACCATGGTAAGTGTGCATGTATGTTTTTACACTTTCTGAATGTCAAATCAGTTATAATCTACTCCTACATAACTAAGAACAAAAATAAATGAATGTAACCTTTTAAACTCCGATATTAATGAGTACTAATTAGCTTTGGGTTACAAAAAAAATTAAAAGAGAGCATGAAGAATAATTATACAGAAGCCAAATGCAGAGAATTGCCTGGTAGTTGTTGAAAATGGAGTGGCAGTTAAAAAGTCACATTTAAACAAACAGGCAGTATCCATTATACATACATTCAAAGCTCTGCCTGTGCCATGGTTACCTGAAAAGCTGCCCTTTTGCAGTTTTTTTCCCAGCTGCACTTTTAAAAGGAATTTATTACTTTTTCGAAATGCCTGCTTCCTATCATTATGAAGATTATGAAGCAAATGTATTTAGAAACCATTCCAGCAATTTGGATCCTTCCGTACATAAAGACCTTGTTGCTTTGAGTCGCATACAGAATAAGATTTAAAATATAACAGTCTGCCAAAGTTTTTGTGTCAGAGTCAGATGAAACATTTATATACAAAATTGCCACCATGTGCACCTGAACACAGCTGCTTGGTGAAATGTGTTTAAAGTCAGGACCGGACTTAAATGGTTTGCTTTTTAAATTAATTTGGGGTTGCTCGTTGTACAGTATTCACTTGATTGTTCATCAACTCAACTGTTAATTTTTTCTTTTGCACATTAATTCCATTTCATTTCATTACAGCAGTTGCCCCTTTTCATTACACCAAACAAAATTGATAAAATCAGTCACTAACTCCCACTGTCCCACTATTTATATTCCTTATGACAAGCACAGAAATCAGAATAACCTCTCAGTACACCCTTACTCCATCCTTTCATCTCCAGTACCTGCTTTATTCCTAGAGGGTGGCAATGAGCTGGCACAGGGCACCAGGACTTCAGTTCATCGCAGCGCACACACACATGAGGGTGAGGGGTTTAAATGTAAAGAATCCGGCAGCAATATGGATACATGCAAACTTCACACGAGAGGTATTCCAGACTTGATGTGAACCCAGGATAATAATAATGTTTTTGCTGTGTATAAATGTGCTTAACTCTGCAAAGAAACAGTTCTAAAGGCACAGCACATTTAGCCCAATGCTCTTTTTAGCACTCCCACAGGCTAGGCACAGAAAGCAAACATATTTGAATAAGCAATCTATTAACACCTCAACCCCACTCAAGGCATTTATAAAAAACCACACTGACACATAATTGCTTGTGCTTTCTCTGTTAGGTGCCAATGATGATTCGCAATGATTCCCAATGTATTATTTGGAAATTGAGACGCTGTCTCTAATATTCTTTGGAAAAGTGACAGTGACGCACTAACGGCAGTTCTTTGCAGACGAGTGTGACGGACAACGATCTCCTACCTGTCCAGCGCAATGGCCACCAGGGTGAAGACAGAAGCTGAGACAGACATTCCCTGGATCAGACCACTCATGGTGCACATGAACTGACTGAAGGGCCAACCTGAAACACAGCAACACTGACCGTCAATAAAAGCTGCTCTCTTGTTTTGGGTTCGGTATACAGCAGAACCCACTCACAAGTGCTCTTCACAAGACAGTGAACAGTCTCTGACTCGGACTCAGCCAACACAACGCGAGATCAACATCAATACATTGCAATATCAACCCCAGTAAAATATACGTGATGCCAGACAAACATAAACAGCTGCAAAACTTTAGTTTTTATCTATATTCTGCTTTGCTCGCGAGGACAACACAACTGATTAATTACACACATTACATTCTCAAAATCTCGTCAGTGCCAGTGTGGAGACTAGCAATAATAGATACCCTTAAATACACAAGGAGATAGCTAACACCTTGTGATAGAGTCGACATATCATAGCAAGACAGAGCTAAAGAAAACCCGTTTTCAGACAGCTTGGTCTGGGCTGGGATGAGTGCCTTTGTGGTTAAGTCATACCGGAGGACCCTTAAGATTGTCATGACATTTTTAGGGCAGCTTTAGCTTTTCAACTGTGTAAGAGTTGTGAATAATTATAATAATGTCTATTTAAACAAACTATTATTTCCGCTAAGTGTTCAACACATATACTGATGCACTTAGAAATGCTCAGGTCTAATGGATTTAATCAAATATTTGAAACAAACAGTAAGATATCAAACAATGTCACAGGGAATGTGAACAAAGATATGGACCAAAAAATCATGATACACTTTCAGTATGAACTGAGACACACTGTCAAAGTGAAAATATTACACAGCTAGTAACATATACGCCCTTCCTGATTACTAACACAGGCCTGGCATACTGACGCATATACTATGACCAGCCTCTGGATAGACTGTGTCATATTCTGCCAATCTTTCTTGTGTAGCTGAAGCCTGTGGCGAAGGTCAACCGACCCCAATTCTCCTGTTGAAGGTGCAGTGATGAATCATTACCACCTTATTAGGTTTGTCATGAAATAGCAGACCTGAGCCTCAAAGGGATTTTTCATTCTGGTTAAGCTCTATCGACACAAGACAAGGAAAAATCTGAGGGGAGCAAATAAATCACCACAAGTCTCAAACTGTCTGCTCAGGTGGTGCCCATGCTGCGCTGGTATCAGTGTGGGGCAACAACATACTGAACCATAACTTTCAAGTACGTGACTGGCACTTTTAGAGAACTGTGCTCACGTCTGTGAAGGAGAAAACAGACATACTCTGTGCCGGCACCTCAAATGTTTTCTGGCCCCCAGGAACTTTCATCTCTCAGTTGTCAATCTTACCACCGAATGGCTTCTGAGCTTGCAGATCCGTTTCATGTGAACGGTGCGCTACCGTCATTCTGCTGATGCATGACAGCTATTTCTTCCTGCAGTTTGTTCTCTGGGCATTACAGTCTTTAAAGGCAAACTGGATCAGGAGGATCGGACAAATATGATGGGCTGGGGTGGTTCTGGGCTGCTGTGGTGACCTTCTGCCTTCCAGGACTTCGCCTGTCGCTCACAAAAGAGGTTCCTCTGGACTAATCTGCTGATTATTCTAGTTTGGGTAACTTCTTTCACAAACAAGCCAATCATGTAGATAGCAAAAATGCTCCCTTACTCACATAGGGCCTGGTCATATCTTTTTCTGTTCTTGTGTTAATTAAAATTATATTGCTTTGAAAGACTATTCATACAGATTCTTAATCTATCAATTCTGACACGCTGAACCCAAATGAGATGCCTGAAGCCACATGACTCACGCCAAGTATTTTGTTATGTCAATGAACCATACTGCTCAATCAAAAGACCTCCTAAAATTTTAAAACTCATATAATTATGTATGTGCCCAAAGAGTTTTTAAAGTAAAATAAATTGTTGCAATTCATTGGCCATCAATATAATGGAAGCTTCATGTTAGGGCTGTGAAGATTAAAGATCTCTCCAAGCCCATTGTTTTTCATTTCACCTCTGACGGCGATGACCACTCCAATCTCTCCATCTGTGTAAAATACGGTTTTCCAAACTCATACATCAGAAAGACTACAGAAACCAAACTTATCCTGCAGCTAGGATCACACCTTCCCCCTTCTCTTAACAATAGACCACTTTTCTTCTAAATTCTCTCTTTTTATTGTAGGTTTAATTTCACACCTCTCTACACCTATCCTGACTTCATACCTCTTGATTTCTGTCCCCTGCTCCCACCCCTCGCTCCTCCTCTCTCCCAGCTTTTGTTCTCTCACTACATTAACTTTGCTTTTTGCCCTGTCTTTCTCACACCTGAAGAAGGCTCCACGGCTGAAACGTTGTGTTTTCTTTCCTCTCTTTTCAGCATGGAATAATTGATATAACTCAATATGCAATAGTGTGTAATCTGCTTTCTCACCGGTGATGAGATTGTCCACTAGTGTGGTAGGCACACAGAATATGCCCACCAGCAGGTCACTGATGGCCAGGTTGAGAATGAAGAGGTTGGTGACAGTGCGCATCCTGTGATTCTGGAGCACCACGAAGCACACCAGCCCATTTCCCACCATGCACAGCACGAAAATGAGGAAGTAGGCCACAATGTAGCTTGCTGCCACAGCAGTGGAATGGAGATAGTAGGGCAGGAAGGTGCTGTTGGACTGTAGCGTTTCTGCAGTCGTGTTCATGGTGAGCTTGTAACTCTGCATTAAAGAAAGCAAAAGATGTACAAGATTTTTTTCTGTCATTTTTCAAATTAATCTCTCGCCTTTAAAAAAAACAAACAACCTAAGATCCCAATTCTAAGAATAAGATCCCTTTTTCCTCTTTTTTAGCAAGTGTAAACTTAAACTCCCTCATCTACACTGCCATCTTTTATGCTGCAATGAGCAACCATGAACTGCTAGGGTTTCCATTGGGCAGAGGAGTGGCTCTGTGGCTAAGGATCTGCACCTGTAACTGGAAGGTTGCCAGTTGATATCCCGGGGCTGGCAGAGGAATCCTACTCCCTAAGCAAGGCCCTTCACCCCCACTGACTAGGGGTTCTATATAAATGGCTGACCCCAAGCTTCTCTCCCTGTCTGTGTGTCTCATGGAGAGCAAGTTGGGGTATGTGAAAAAATACAAATTCCTAATACAAGAAATTGTATATGGTCAATAAAGTGATCTTATCAAGGTCTGGAGAAAAACACTTCAGCCTGTCACTGCACACTCTGACAGACAGATGGCAGCACAGAGGACACACCCTAGCTGCAAGAATGGGAGCTGCCATTTTGAAAGAGATTATATTTTGAGGTTTGAGGAAAATGTCAGACATGACTACAGACAGTTACTGTACATAAATAAAAAATCACATTTATTTCTGATTCCTGATATTTGAATCTTACGTTTTGCTAGGAATGACATTTTTCAGAAGAATTTTTTTTTCTGATGTGACATTTCTTAAATTGCTTGTTGCTGTGATATCTAGGTTCATTTTGGGGTAGCAACATCCTGGAACTCCCATAGAACCCCAAGTTTCACAGATTGTATTATGCACTGTCAATCGGACAGTTTCATATGCAAATGTAAGGGGAGTCATTATATTTAATTAACCCTTTTGCAGCAACATAACTTCCTTGTCTATTTAATAAATGATAAGTCCATGCCAAAAATGTGATTTAAAAATATTATTTATTAATAACAAAAGAACACGTTTTCAGTAGACACCTCATTACAATCAAGACATAACAATTTGTTTTGAAGGGAACTGTGTGTGTTTAGTTGTTTAGTCGAGTCCAACTATTCGTGACTTCCTGGACTTTAGCATGCCAGATCTGTCTGTCAGCAACTGCTTCTCTGAGCTCTTGCAAATTCATATTCAGTACTTCAGTAATACTATCTATCCATCTTAACCTCTGCCTCCCTATTCTTCTTTTCCCTTCAATCTTTCCCAACATCAGAATCTTCTCCAGTGAACCCTGTCTTCGCATTATATGGCCAAAGTATCTGAGTTTAAGTATTGAGTATCAATCCTTCCAATGAACAATCTGTGTTTAGTTCCCTGAGTACTCTGATTTGATCTTCGTGCAGTCCAAGGAACTCTCAATAATTTTCACGAAAGCATCGATTTTCTGACGCACAGCCTTACTTTATAATCCAGCTCTCACATACAGACAGTATGTCACTACAGGGAAGACCATAGCTTTCACTATATGGATCTTTGTTGACAATGTAATATCTTTGCACTTTAATATGAAGGAACTAGGGAGTTGTCAAAATCTTACATCTTACATGGTGTATCCCAGCTCTTCCCAGAGACCTATCTCTGGGGGAACTACAGAGGAAACAAGCAAGTGTCTGAGCCAGATGGGCTGTGAGTTTATTTGTTCTTCTATCTTGAACAAAGGCTTGTTCTTCTAGAGAAGACTTTTTAGAGCCATAGCAAACGGCAATAATAAAGAACGAATTGATTATTTCACTTTTAACAATAAGAATGGTAAATATTTACAGGATTTGACTTGTGGTGAACTGGTGAAAAATTATTTTACCCCTGCTGCTCAAGATTACCGCACATGCCCAAGACTAATTGTATGCCAATTTAATAACTTGTTTAATTACTTAAGAAGAGAAGCACTTGTGGGGGAAATCTCAAGTGCACTGAAGAGGGTTAAGGCTGTCTCCCACACTGGTATTTAATAAGACATGCAGGAAAAGTGCTCCTAACAAGCACTGGGAGTGGGAGTGAAATGGCACACTTTAATATACCCGACATACAGATATCAAACTAATCATAAAGTAAAAGCATGCATTAATCTCTGAGAGGCAGCTAAGGAAATGCGTCTTAAGATGTTAAATGTGCAGTAGAAACTAGACAGTTTTTTTTTTAAACCTAATGGCTTAAAAAAACAAGGATGGAATTTGCACTCAATGTTCACTCTGTGAGGTCAAGTTAGGATGCAAAATGTTTTCAGCCTCTGTTGTTTTAAAATGTGGAGAGGCAGATTCTACCCCATAGTAACAAGGAAAAGGAGTTCACAGTGTATCTGCTGGGCTGGTAGACAAACTACCACATGACTGTAATTCCCAAGCTAGACTTCAGTAGTCTGGTCAAATTCTAACAAAAATTAAATGAAAAATATTAAACGCTAACACATACTTAATATTTTGGCATTCATTTGCCCGAATGAAGTAATAAAAGTGCTGGATGGAGGTTAGACATATTACACCTCATCCCCTCACTTACAAGGAATGAACCAGGGAGACAGCTGCAAAGGTGAAATTGGGATAGAGGAATGGGGACCTAGAAAAGAGGTGTCCAAATTGTGGGCAGCCAGTGAGTATTTACACATAGAAGAGCAGACCTGTGAGTTTAAACTGTAACCTCGTCCTGAAACTTGTGTTAAATAACAATGTTTGGGAGTGAGTCTTATCTGTCCTTCAACGGACACTTCCTTTCCACATTTTCTATTTGTTTCTTCAACATCTTAACAACACTTAGTAGCAGTACAGTACGAGGCTCATCTACTTAAGGATCACTCTGTTTGAAGGTGAGATGGTGAGATAAAATGCATACCACCCGCAAAAAATATGTTTCTACTAAACACAATATCATTCCTGCACTTTAAGATTTGCCATAAATAAAAAATTGTGGAAAAGATTTCCACCTCCTTTAGCGAGTTTAAAAATCACACAAAAAACTAAAATCAGAAAAAAAGAAAGCAGCGAATCACAAATGACTTTTCAGGATTGACATTTTAAAACTTCCATTCTCTTAGATCACTATTTGAGGAAATGCATTTAAAACTGAAAATATGAGCTGATTTCACTGGAATGCTTCAAGAAAAAGCTTGATGAGCTATTATAATAGCTAATACAATAACTTCAATTAGTTAGCAAGTAGTAAATGAAGAAATATAAGCTAGTTATCTACCCCTGATGGAAACCAAATCTTTATTATGTTCTAAGAATTTTCCGATCTAATTTGGAATATTACCCGCATTAGTATTTACCTGCAAACAAGTAAGCTGTACCAAGCATAAAAAAGCAAACTGAAAATAAAGCACTAATCACTCAGTTCAATGTTACATCACAAATGTAAAAAATAAGTTGCCAAATTTAACAACTACATACATTTCTTCAGTCCCTTTGATCTTTAAATATTTATTAAATATAACTGTTTATGTGGATTTAAAACCACACATCTCCGTAATGGGGATGTTGCATTTAGATTCCTACCTTTATAAAATAGTTCGGGAGAGTTTCCTTTTCAAACGCAAAATAAGACCCACGATGATTTAACCTTGTAAACGTCATGAAGACTGTGTTCCGATAAGAACATCTGTTACACAAGACAAGGGGGAAAAATCTCTATACTTCAAGTTTCCTTTTAATGGAATTGTGGGCAATCAAATGCGAAATTAATCTTTACAATGTACAGTAGTGTTGAATTGCGAGCCTTAACCCAACACAAATCATGTTGTATCTCTTCGACCTGTGAAAGCTTAGAACTGTCAAGATAAAACATGACAACACATACAGTCTCCTATCGTGATGTCTGTAGTATATGATGTACAATCATTATAAGAGTGCTAGTACGTGCTGTTTTTTTAACTCATGTACTGTGTAAAGAAAGCTGAGGGAACTATATGGCAGTACGCACCTGACAGAACGAGCAGTAGGCTATATAAAAAGGCAAATCCTGCATTTTATAATAACTTGATGAGATACAATACAGCTGCATTTTAGTAATTTAAGTTTGTTATTTTAGTTAGTATTCATCACCCACAACGAACCAGAGTTCTTATGGTATTAATACGTGTAATATCGGACACTTAAATACACTACTTTTGTGTCTAACAGAAGGGTTTGGGGGAAACTTGCCCGACCATATTTTCAGGTAACTTAAGTGGGAAAAACAACCAGTTTTCTTTCCGTATTGTTTGTCATAGGTTCGCTGCAATTCTTTGCGTTTCTCGGTTTTGTAAAACGGAAAAAACAGAGTAAAGTTTTTTTTTTAAAAAAAAAACATTGAGAATAATAGTCGTATGCAACGGTTATTAAATTGCAAATGTACATTAAGACTGGCAGGTTTAAAATTTAATCAAGGTATTCTGCCGAGCATTTAATGAATGTTGAAAAAGTTTTTAACTCACCGTGTGCGTATGGAATCGGGAATTGCATAAAAAGTGAGACATCAACATTTGTGAAATTATATTTTAAGTAAGCAAACAAGGCAGTAAAATGATTAATCACGTATAAAATCTAGATATATAAATCTATATATAAAAGTACAACAATTAGATTTGGGAGATAAGCTCCATTCTTACCTAAAAATTCCAGTCCAGTCCGGCGTTCAAATTTTCACGCTGTGTGAAAGGGACGAGCGAATCTCTCAGTGTGCCTGTAAACGGTTTGCAGTTTTACTACAGCTGGCTGACAGGAGAAATCTTTCCTAACAGACTGATGTCATCGGTCACTGAGGAAACCAGCTCGTTTTTTACAATGTTTCTCACATGTTAGTAGTCAAGCAAAAAAAAAAAAAACACAGTTCTGTGTAAATCTACAGTGCGAAATTATAATCTATAATAATTACATAGAGTTGAAACCAAAATATTTTTTCTGTTGCTTTATGGGAACATTTCTGAGGCATGTTTTTAAACCAAAATAAATGCGGCAAAGCACAGTTTAAGATACTGAACTGTTGAGATTAAAATGTTATTAAGAATCTAACTATTGTACATCATGGTGTAGGAGCGCAACTCACAGAATGGCTATCAACTGTCGTCCCTGCAGAACAGTATGTACTGTATGTGTGTTAGCAGATCACCTGATTACTGCTAGCTTTAAAGATAACCATTTTCCAATGGTTATTATTAATCTGCTCTATTCCTTTAAAAAATGAACTGGAGAGACGAAATCAGAACAAAATTGGCAGGTTTTTTTTTTTGCACTGCTTGCTTCTGTCTTGCTGTAATAGTTCAGGCGTTAGGGAAACTAGACTGTTGCACCTGTACACTCATCTGTTATCTGGGAGAGTGGCGAGTTTGAACGACCAGGATGAGCAGTGACCTGTCGTGCTTGGAGACGTACTGTATAGTGCCCGTGGTCTGTCCGTGACGCCCTAGTGCAATTTTGATTTTACTCGATTCATACTGTTTGGACTGACTTGACAAGTTAACGTACAGAGTTAACGTATCAGAGTCCTTAAACCTTCATATTCGTGTTCTAAGCGCTGTAAAAAACAGTCTTGTAGCGAATCAGCCCAAACCCGGTTCGGCGGACAGGACTGCGACAGAGGGACAGGCAGGAGGCAGGTCTGCAGCTTCACAAAGCCAGAGGATTTATTGCCCTTTGGCTACAGAAGTGTGCTGTTCCCCAGGGGGAGAAATGGGAACGCAGCTCGCCACAGCTCGTCATGCAGCGCGAAGAGGGGTACAGGGAGGAGGAGGAGGGGAGACTGCGTCTCACGGTCATGGGGCAACGGCACAGTCCATATGACCGGGGGGGGGGAGGAGCGGAACGCTACTGCAGACTGGATAAACTGCAGGAATAAACAGGGAGGAAATGTATGATACTCCCTCTAACGTTAAAGCGAACACACCAGGGACCGATGGCTGCCCAAGGAAGAGAACCCACAGCTCCTCTACTTCTGTCCACCTGTAATTGGGCAAACGAAGTAGAGAAGTATTATTTCAGTTATACCAAAGGAAGAGAAGGACCGAACTTGAACGTGGTTCTGTTCACCCAATTTCCGCTCTTAACGTGGACTGTAAGATTAATGCTGCCATCATGGCCAACATAGTGGAGCAATTTCTACCTCAGTTGATGAATCTAGATCAAACCGGTTTCACCCAGAACACAAGATAGTATGGTAGGCATATATTGCACATTATGAAAACACATTGAAGATCGAAAAGAAAGAGTCCGTTTTGGTTAGTCAAGATGTGGAACAAGCTTTTGATTGAGTCAGCTGTGACTTTCTATATCAAACACTTGAGAGATTTGGATTTGATCATAAATTTATATATGCAATTAATATAAATTATTCAAATCCCTCTGCATAAATTATGATCAACGGTTACCTCCCAGATTTTACTAAAAAAAGGTACAACACAGAGATATCCTCTGTCTCCTCTCTTGTTTTCTCTAAATATAGAAACTCTAGCAGAAAGTCCCAAAGTGAAGGGTAAGAAATCAATGTCTAAGAACATAAGATTGAACTATATGCAGATGATGTCTTATTGAGGTTTGGATGCCTTGGAGAGATTGGGATAAATATCTGGTTACAAAGTAAATATAGCGAAGACAAGTGTTAACTTGTCTTTCAATTACAATCCAACAGATGCTGTATATTAACGAGAAATTTAAGTTAAATTGGCAAATAACTTTAAATACTTTGGAGTGTATTTACCAAAAGACCTCTCACAATTGTTCAATTTAAAGTACAGTTCCATAATTCACAGAATAAGGGATTATATTGGTAGTTGGAATGTGCTCCCTCTTTCCATTGGATCTAGAGCACAGGCCGTTAAGATAAACACGCTATCAAGATTCAAGCTCTTCCAGCAGAGATTTCTACAGAATGTTTTAATGAGTGGAGCAAAATTAATCTCAAGGTTTATTTGGAATGGAAAGAAGTTGAAAATTAGATTTAAGATGATACGATTAACTAACGAGTTGGGTTGTCAAACCCAGCCTTGCCTGGAGACAAATTACCAAGCCACCCATCTTAGATCACTTGTTTCTTGGTGTGATCAAAATTCTCATGCAAAATGGAAGGAGACTATTTGCCATTATAATAGTTGATTTTCTCTCAATCTACAGTCAGAAAGGTTTAGCAAATACTGTAATATATGACCTTCATCTTTCCGCATTGTTGCTTTTGCAGTAATGATTAAACTAATGTAGATGTGAAGTACTTATGTTCCAGAGTTTAACTAACCCATCACTAATGGGACAATGCAATGTAAATAGTTCTAAAAAAGATGACAGGAAAAAAGCCAGAAATTGCATGCATATTTTACATGTAAACTGTTTTCTTCAATAAAAAAATCAAAATAAAAGTTAAAAAAGCAGTAGGAGGAGAAGATCCAAAAGCTTTTTTCTTCACCAAATCTTAAGTCTGTGAGCCATCTTTACACTGTGTCATGCATTAGCTCCCAATAAAACGTATTAATGTAATTGAGCTATTACTGTGCACTCAAGCCCATGAATCACGCATTTTACCATTGCATTAAACATACAAATATTGAATGGCTCGCCATGTATATTTCACGTTGACTCTGCTCTCTGCACTTTACTGGAGAAATTGCATGCATATTAAACAATGAGTCTTAAGAGGTTTTCAGAAAATGGGCATCTGCAGTTCATTCCATGTCCTTGTTCATCTAGACGTTCTCCTCCTAAAGTATGGAGACTGGAGGGTCAAAGAACAAAAAGAGATTCCAGTAAACAGAGATTCTGCTTGAAACTCAACAGTAGTTTTCCACACCTATGAGAAACTCAATATTTTAGGACCTGCAGCAAAAGGGAAAATTGAGGCCCCAAGCAGAAAAACGTAAAGAAGTATTTTTTATCTTTCAGGCTTTAAAGGCTGTTTTGCCTTAGGAAATGCAATGGAGCTTTGGCAGTAAAGGTACTTTACTGTGAGCCTTGAGGGCATTAAGAAATCAAGGGATCAAATCAACAGCAGCAAGTACAGCTCTCAAAAAAGTATGTGAAGCAGAATTCATTGTGCATCCACGGGAAAACATCACAGATTCTCCACTGATGTGTTCAAGACTGATACTGTGCACTGTGGGAGCATAACCAGGTGAATCTCTGTGACATCACCGACTTACATTCCCTGTCACAGGAGAGATGTCAAATGCAGTGTGGAACATGGGAATCATCAGCTCTACCCCCTCAACAGAAAAAGAACAAAACCAGTTAATTGAAATTCATTAAACAAAGAGTGTGAAGAGTCCTCTAGGATGGGATATGCTTTATTCAAGACTCCTAACTGATAGATGTACAGCAGGGCTGAGAGTTCAGCACTAATGACTTTGTGACATAGTTTGACAATACTCCTCAGGTTTGCTTTTACTCCTCAGAATCAGATTCCCAGATCAGTGCAGGAGTTAGAGCAGACTCAATAAGACGGATAATACAACAAATTATCAACCTTAGAATGTTTAAGCTTCATTTGCCTCAAAATTTAATTTGCAGTCTAAAACAGTCCCTAAATACTTATGTGTATCTAACATTTCTGCTGATCCTCCCCTAATCCAGGTTTAACTATGGGGTATGAGGGCTCTTCGTGCCATATCGTTGATCTTGAAGACATTCAACATCAGGCAGTTTTGTTTTCAAAACTGTGGCAGACTCTACAGCTGACTCATATCGGCACTCATTTGATTGCAACAAAATAACGTCTTAGTTTGTTCGTTTTGGAATCTCCCCTGCTGGGTTTCTAATAAGTGGGGCGTAGGGCTGCACAGGGGCATGGTGGATAATATTGCAGCCTCACAGATTCTATGTTCTGTGTTCGATTTCAGACTGAGCCTGTTCCGTGGGGAGTTCGCTTGTGCTTCTGGGATACGTTTTGAGTTGTTATGGCCCTCAAAGGATGAATGGATAAGTACAAGAGAACAAACTGAAGTGCTATTTATAACCTAGAAAATAAATAATGGAACTCTGGAGGGTAGGAACTGCATCTACTATAAGCCAATACACCTGTTTACAAGACTCAGAATCTCGTTTTAAAAGCTCAACACAAGACTTTATAAACAATACTGTGATAGTAGGGTCTGCAAGCCTAAATTAATGGAATAACTAAATAAAACAGAAAATGGATGGACAGCACTGCTTTTAGGTTTTCCTTGCCTGAACAGGTTGCATTAACCACAGTGAGAGAGTCATGCAGATCCTTAGATTTTACTCTGGGGTCCTTTGTGACTTGCTGGATGATTTTTACTTCATTCTTTTTCTTTTTTTTAAGTTCACTAGGGGCAACAACATCCAAGGTTTGAATGCTTTGTGAATACTTGGTGAGATAAGTTTTGCTGAACCCAATTACGATTTTGATTTTTAAGACCTTTATTTTCTTGTCACAAATAAATACCGAAAATCATGAAATAAAAAACTCTACAATATTATAGATCCCTAAAACAGTACATATGAACACATATCTTTAAGGTTAAGAAAAAGCAACTGTTACATAACAATAATTACTTTTTTTCTGGTGCATTAGGTCATTTTGAATCACTTCCAAAAAAAGACAAATGCCACTTTTTTCCTTTACATGATAATCAATATAATATGTTTTCCATTTGGCAGTGTGGAATGAACTTCTCATTCCTCCACAGTATTTGCACATTGATGCAGCTCCTTGTATAAAGTATACACACAGGAAGTCATTAAAGAGCAAACCCTGCTAAAGACTGCAGCATGTTACAGTTACTTGAGGTATGGAGATTCAGTCCTATACCCACTGTTTTCCACATTTTCTGCCTCCTCCTTCCCTTCTCTACAGATCTCTGAGGTGTAGAGAACATGTTTGACAGGATTTGGGCCGTGGGGAGCAGTGGAAAGATGCTGTATATAATGAAGGCAGCTCTCAGGAAAAAGTGAGGTGAAGGTGAAGACTATAACCAGTCTTCAAACTGGGCCGACAAATCCTTAGGGAGGTGGCAGGACCACAGGAGATGGGCTTTGCTTAACCTGCTCAATTGAAGGGCAGCCTCCTGGCCACAGACCAAGGGGACCCAGGGGCAGCTGCAAGGTGGAGATGGGTGCAGTAGGGACGCCTGAGAAGAATGCAAAGGGGACTGTTTGAGTTTGGTTTATGTAGCTAGTTTGGTGGTGATGGTGATTAGATACAGGTGTGTGAGATTGACTAGTTGTTGTCATCCCTCTTGAATTTCAGTTCATTACTGTTGGCTTTCAAAATGTCCTGCTTTAACACATTAACTGCAGTACCGAATGGTGACAACAATAATTGAGGGTTGCCTGTACCATCTGTACTATTACAGATGGACAGGTATTTAGTTGAATGAGCACAATGTGTTCCGTTTCAGTATTAAAAAGCAGATTGTTGGTAAAGCCACGTGCCCTACAGATGAGTCAGATAACATTCTGCATGATGTGGAAGAACATAACAACACAAGCACTACTTGTGCCTAATGCACAAGGCGGTCAATGGCTTTAATGCAGGAGAAAAGTGAAACAATTCAAGGATAAGAATAGGAAAAAGACTCATGCATTTCTGTTTATGTGAATATTGTCAAAAGCTAGGGCTTTGTACTTCATATGTCAGTGTATAAACATTAAAGCTACCCTGGAAGGGCTTTTAGAAGTTAATATTTATTTATTACAAAAGGGGTTCTAAATAAAACTTACAGTCCATTATCTCAGTTGATGGTTCTCGGTGGTCTACTTTTCAAATACAAACATGGCCTTAGACGGGTGTCAGAAGATATTAAAGGCTGAGAATGAATTGCGCACATCGGGGCTTTTTAAATAGTTCCCATTTTACAAGCAAAATAATAGAAAAGAACACAGGTGAAAGAGAAACACAGCAATAAACACCGCACCTTGCACAAATATTCAGTCTTCCCATGATGTCCTGTTTTGTCAAATACAAAATATTGCCTACTTTTTTAAAAATTAACATCTCATTCAAAATGTTCAAAATGAAGACTTCTAAAGGTTAGATATGTAACAGTAAATGTCAGCGAAAGTGAAAGTGGAAAAAAACTGAAATATGCACCAGTGAACTCTGTATTTGGTTGTAGCACCTTTGACGGCAATTACAGTCACAAGCTTTTTGAGTAACGTAATATCAACCTTGCACAGTGGCTTGGAGCAATCTTTGTACATTCTTCTTGGCAGACTGATTTTCAAACATTTTCAATAGGATTTAAGTCAGGTTTTTTACTGTGCCACTGAAGGACATTCACTTTCTTAGTCTTCAGCCACCCCAGTGTAGCGCTGTCCTTTGGATCACTGTCCTGCTGAAAGGTGGATTTTAGGTCTGAAGCCGGTTTTCCTCTAAGATGTGCCAGTACATTTCTCCACTAATCTGGACAAGCTTGCCAGTCTCTGCTGAAGAGAAGCAGAACTATAACATAATGCTGCCCACCACGTTGGCTTTGCATCAGATGTAACACTTTGCAATTAGACCACAAAGTTCCAGTTTTGCAATGTTAATCCACAAAACCTTTTTCCACATGTTTGCAGTATTACTTAGGTATATTGCTGAAAAGCTCATGTGAGAGTCCCGAGATTCCTCCTTGCCCAGCTGCTCTGACTGTAGAGACAGCATGATCTAGGTAGTGTTGGGTGCCTTCACTGTGCTCGGACAGAGATTATAAATGTATGTGTCTTAATACAACTTTATATCTGAGTTGTTCTGAAAACTCCTCAATCAATGGAGTATTTATTCTAAAATCACGTGAACCACTATTATTGTGCACAGACACAGAGGCCACAAAACTAACTGTGATTCTTTTTGCAAAGAATTGTAACTTTTCTTTCATATAAAACATCTGTTGACTTCAAAGTGACTGCAAGATTTAAAGCAATAAAATGTTAGTGTTTCATTCGAATGAATAATGGACTGATCTCTTTCATTCTTTTCCATCTTGAACCATTTAGAATTTTACATCAGATCTCCGCTCAATCTCCTGTGCACTGAAGAGATCAAGCTCCTTTTTTCTGTCCACATGGTGACGATCGCGAGATGAAGGATTATTCCTGTACATTTTTTCTGAGACTATAATATCCAACTTGTGGTATGGTGATCCAAGATGAACACAATATACTAAGCGAGGTCTTACAAGCACATTCTTTGATATTTTTAGAGCTTCTTCACCTCGTTGTGCCAACCACATTGATGAACCTATATTTATTTTATTAACCTATAGAGATTAATTAGTTTTGTATCTTTAACTTTATAAACTTGATTCGCTATTTCTTACTTTATTAAGTCATTTATTTATCAGTTGCAAGTTCACTGCCTGTTAACTACCTCATTCCTTCAGTTTGCTTTTCTGAAATCATAATCTGTCAATTTTGTCTCACATTTTAGAGATTGAAAGCATACATCGAAAGATACCTTACTGTGATCACAACTTCCCAGAAGCTCTATCATGCCCATTCTTGATTATTATTACTTCTGTCCTAGTTGTTTGAAAAGATTAGGTCAATAAAATCATTTTCTTGCTGCTGCTTTTACAAAGTGTCTCCCGTTCATATAACATCACCTTTGCTACATATTTTACTAATCTCATCAAATAACAACTCATCATAAACTACATTAGGTGGTGTGTAGTATACATCTATTGATAAGGACTAGAAATGTTTTCCAACTAAACTGTCTGTATCGTTTTGCTTCAACACTCATAAGCAGCTCATTAGTCATATATATTCCCTCAACAACACATCATCTGTCCTGCCATTCTTTCTGAACTACTGTGTATGTGTTAATTTTATATTCATCTCCATCACCCAGTGTTGTTTCAGTCACTTTTATGTTATAATTCCCTGTTCACCCATCAGTTCTTGTATGTCATTTCTTGTGCTTCTAGTATGGCGGTATAAGCATTTAAAAGATCCCACAGGTCTTGGTCTCAAGGTGCTCACAGATGAACTCTTCCCCCCAGAAATTAAATCATTCAGCAAACCACACAGTCATAGTGCTGTTGTTTCTAACTACACATGTTAAGAAGATGGTAACTTTTGAGCTTCTTCTGAAGCTTTTATTTTCTGGAAAGTTGATTTTTCCTTTTAGTTAAAACAGAAAAAACAAATATTTTGTCTAGTTAAGGTTCTTTAATTCATCTTTGTGTATAGGATTTCCGGCGACAAAGAAAGCTCACCTTCACCTGACTCGGTAATGATTCTAGTCATTAGGAGTTTTTAAGCCTTTAGTGTCTTTCTTCCTTCAGCAAGAATCCAATGAGAAAAGCACACTGTAGACATCACCTTTCCTTATAGCATTTGTCGTTGCTGCTGCTCTCAATGCTATCTGAATTGTCACTTCAACAGCAGGAGGGTGGAGATGGTTTTCAAAGCAAGATCTTTCAGAGACAACTAAGAACACACTGTTATTTTGGACACCACGGAGCATCTCCGGTTACTTGCATGGCATCCAGGAAAATGTATTGAAACACTTCTTTCAATCTTCATGGCCTATATCACTGGTGTAAATGGTGTTTCATTCTCTTAGATTCTCTGAATTATCACTATATTCCCTACAAACCGCTAGGTATAAGATCCTTTTTAAGCTACAGATGGGGTGGAGTTTACATTATGCACTCATGTATATGGACTTTTCAGAAGTACCAAGGCTTCTTCAATCCCTTAAGACTTGGAATTAGAAGAGTTTTACAGGAATTTGATACAGCTCCCTCTAAAACCCAATCGAGGACATTCAGGCACCCACTTACACCATCAAAACACACAGGTACCTGGCCAAAGGTAGGCTCCTGTTGCCAGAAAGTCAAGGGTCTCCCACAGACAATTCTATATTCTATCTTGAGGTCGCTCAGTTGATTTAGGGCCTCTGCTGGCAACCAGCTACAGCCTGGGAGGAACATACAGAGGTAGTGATGGACTCGGAGATCCATGATCACACAGCACCTGTAATTCTGAAAGTTTTAATTTTAATTTTATCCACTATGAACCATACTGCTCATTTTCTTCTAACTGGAAATGAAGTTGCTGTAACTTTTAAAAATGTTATCACATCTTTGATTTATGGTTTGCTAACTTAGTGCATTTTTTTCCTATCGCTTAATTTGCATTCTATACTTTCACCATATTACACTTTGCAAGCCACTTTTATGATTAACTATTGTGAAAAGGTGCTCTTCAAAAAAGACCGATTAATTACCAAACCCCAGACTACCATACGAAGCCTGTAAAACCTTTTCTTTCAGTTTCAAGTGAAACCATTTTCATCAGACAAATACATTTCATTAATAAGTGTCTGCTTTTTCATAATCAATGATTACAATAAAGATGCTTAGCCTGAATTGAACACCCAGATCAGAACATTGTTTAACAAAAGAGGGTTTATACAAATAATTTGGCAGAGTGACCTAGTTGTATCTGCAGAATTCTGCAGATGAAGAATCAATGACTTTTGTGTAGCTTGACATGATTTTATTGTGGCAATCAAGTCTATTGGGCACAGCAGATAGTACATTTCAAATCTCATAAAGGTCACCCCTTCTACTTCAATAGCAAAAGGACCTCTTCAGGTTCTTGAGTGATGAGACGTAATTGGATATGATTATTCTGTTTCTGACTCCAGTCAGAAATATTTATTTTTTTCAATACAAATCCGTGATACCAGGTGAACATGGTTCAGTTTGGCTGCTACTGTCAGAAAGTGTGAGTATGTGCTGGAAGGTGGAGGTACATAATTTAATATTGATCTTAGACACTGGAAGTAGAAATAATCATCCTGGAGGAATCGGAAAGAAGATATTTTTCATAGACATGTCATGCCCCACACTGTTTCTTGAGATGCATTCTTACCGTTAAATATGGTCAGTTCTCTTTTAGACACAAATACCTGTTTGAACTACTAGACAACATTCTATGGGTGTTGTCCTCATCTGTCAGCCACTGGTGTGCTTGTTTTAGTGATGAATTGCTGCAAGTTGATGAGTATTCATGAGGGGAAAAAAAAGCTCTCAAAACATTTTCACATTACAAAAAAAGGACAAATATTGCTTGAATGAAAAACCTGAATGTATCAAAGTATCATTCATATATTGCTGAAAGTGAAGGTAGTGCTGTCTTGTCAACACCTTTTACTTCCAAGCAGGCTGTTATGCAGAATTGTTCACTTTTAACACATTCACAAAGGTTTGACTCGCCCCATGTATGAAATCACCGGGTGTTAAAATTCACTCTGTAAGATGGGCATTTTTGAGTATGTGTTGAAAATACTCAAAAATTCTGTCAACAATCGGGGCAAGAATAAATTCCTCAATTCCTATCCTTATTCCATTAAAGCTTTATCTATGCACATCTATCTGTATGTAAATACTGTTTTTTCTTTGAAGTGTCAGGCCTCTACTCGGGACGTATCTTCATTATACATGCTTGTTCAAATAAAAGAGATCACAAAGACTTTGAGAGGTGTATACAAGCTCGTATGTAAGTACAGAAAAGACTTAGCTAATTACTGGATACACACATAATATTAGTCGGATAAAATCTTTAAATGGTTAAACTACTGCACATCCATTCAATTTATGTGGTTAAACGTTTGTCTACTAGATAGATTTATTTCAGTTTTTGTCCATTACGTCATTATTATTATTTCATGTAGTTTTTTTGGATAATAAGATGCCGAACCGACTTTATTCTTCAGTAGTAATATACTGATTTTACAGTGAAAAGGTAATTGACTCCCCTTGGTTAACTTGTGATCAGAATGTCTTGTTGGAGCTTTAAATAAGGTGCTCTTTCTTAGTTCAATGTGAACATTAACAAAATATCTTCCTTTGAATCAGTCTATAGATTAGGGATATAATTATAATAATTTCCTTCTTTGCAATCATGAAGTCCTTTTTTTTACAATACAAAGGACACAAAAAGGATAACTAGCCTGTGAAGAGAAAAAAAAAAACAGAACACAGTATAAGAACAAGTTTTGGAGAAAAAAAGTTATTTTCAGATACAAAAAAAAACATTGGTAAAGGGGGAAAATGTATTCTTTTGTTAAGTCAACATCTTAATGTCATCCTACCAACAATGTAAAAAAAAAAAAGAACTGGCACATTTTTTTAATGAGAGGCGGCATAACAATGATACTTTTGTTAAAATCGCTACATGCTGCTATTCTGTGAATGAGTTATTGGTAGTTTCTTTGAGTGCCTGGTGTTCTTCTCCAGCTGTTTTATTTACGAGTGCTTTAAGTACATGGCAAAACAATATGCACAAAGTGCATTACAATGCAGATAAAAAAGGCAGCTAAGCAAGTCTCAAGATACACAGCGGCTGACAATCTAGTCTCCCACAGACTACCACTGCATCACCTTCACTGCAGTGTGAAGTTAACTTCATATCCCCCTCACTTAACAAAAAAAGAAGAACGGGAATTGAAGAATGAAAATGAATATGGTTTTAATGAAATTTGTCATGTTAAAGGTTTTTTTTAGTTTTTTGGCAAGACTGCCTTCTATATTGAGATGTTTTGTAAGAAGACCAGTTGTTTATGAAGAGAAGTTTTGATGCAGTACATTGTAGACATTGCTATTAACCCCCCACATACCATAAGCTTTTTGTTACATTTCTTATTCAATTTTCAATCCAACTGAAGCTCATATCATGTAACTGGATGATTAACTGCGATTACCTTAAGCTTACTTTTGGTAGAGATTGCTGACACGTGTAAAGAGCTTGATGTTTTGGCCCAAGAAACATTTTATCCTTTCGTAATGACACTGGAAAACGCCAGATTCAACATTAAATCTGCTGTTCATTTGTGATTAGCCTGTGAACACAGATTGAAGAAAGGGGCTGAGACACTCTCATTAATGCTGGCTTGAGGGTCCTGTTGAGCTGGCTGGGGCGCTGCTTTGAAGTGAGGGAGTGTTCGAGGTGCCTACAGATCTCCCCGATAGCGTGATGATGGTGGTCCCAGGTGCAGGGGTGATGGTCTCACAGGTGTGAAGGATGGTGCTCGCTTCATCCAGGACAGAGGGTACCCTGCCCAGCGTCTCTGGTTTGATGGACGGAGGTCCCCCCAGTGTAGGGGTGAGGAGTACAGTCTTTGGGCCTCCCTGAAGGACTGGTCCAACTTTTGACAAGACCATGGTGCAAGAAGGGCTGGGTATATTGGTGAGGGCAGGTGTGGTGAAGGTCACTGCTCCTCCTGGCGGGGAGGGCACCCCCAAAGTTCTCAGGGTGCTTGGCCCCTCCAAGGATGGCTGCTGCTGTGGGATGATGGACTTGGTGAGGGCTGACATCTTGGCATCTGACATGACATACAGGGTCTTGGTGGGACTGGTGGTGGTCACTGCAGTAAGAAAGAATATTGTCAAAGACAAGGGATTAAGGGTATCAATGCTAGCTACAAGGCTGAGTCTGCAGAGCGCCAGGGATTGGTGGTAGCCATTGTGTAATCTTATCTTTTCTCTTTTCTTCAGTAGAATGGGCAGTCAAGCACTTCAACAAAAATAATTTGAATAAAATAAGGCCATCAAAAAGCTACTGTGATGCTCCACTGATTCAAACCAGCATTCAACCAGTGATTCAAACATGCTCAATTGAGAAAAGTTTAAACTGGTGCTCCTGTAGGATAGAAAAATTACAAAAAAAAGATTTTTGGATTAGTTAAATTTTCCTCAAGAGCAGGATATGCACCCACTCTTCAGAATGTAGTGAAGAATGAATAAAATGAATAAAAGAGTATTCTCTGTGCTACACTGGATTTATTCACAATAACCAGTAAACCTATGGGATTTAGTGTTTGTTTTTGTTATGAGTGATGCTGATGTGATTGTATAGTTTCCATGCACTTTAGGTGATAAACCTCTGGCTTCAAACTTAATGATAAGCATTTCAATCCAGAAATCCAGATTTCAAAACAGAAAATTATGTGATGACCAATTAATTCCTCCTTATGACATGACATTGCCAGACAATGTGCGCCCCCTAGTGTCATTTTCAACAATAAATCAAAGCATGCTACTGGACAAGTAGCACAGTCAATCTGCAAGAGCCATTATGCATTCCAGACATGAGAAAAGACACTATTTAACTAAAAAGCAACTGTCTAGATGGTATAAAGTTATAATTTGATTTAAACAATTCAGTCATCTCTTCCTGTCAAATTACATCGTGCAAAATAAATTATTTGCATAACCTTGAGTCCCCTTGAGCTACTTGTGCAAGTTGTACTCAGGCAGTTACTGAACCTTCACAGTTTTCAGTTTGAGCAGTACAACCTTAAATACTAATACTACCCTAATGTGTAGTTATGAGTAGGAATCAGATTGTGACCCATATCACAGAAAACATGAACTTACACATTTTGCTGTGAAATAGAGAAGCAAGCAGCAAGTAAAATGTGATATTTTGTGAAGCTTCAAGCACATGAAATGTGGTATTCTGATTACATTTATCCCACCTAAAGAAAAAGCATGAGAGAAAGGCAAAGCAATCTTCTCCAACCCCACAACCTCAAGGTCTCGACTCTTGACTGTGACAGCACAAAATGATCTCCAGTAAAGCAACGCATCTGTCTCTGCTACACATCTGTCTCTGCTTGAGAATACTCAAGGACACTTGTACTTAAAACTTATCCTTTCTAGTTTAGCTTAAGGCCATTAATTAAACCGGAACTTAAATAGGACAATTTATTATAGTATTTA